ACTAACTTTTGCCCCCGACTCCTTCCGCGCGGATTTAAGCTCAAAGACAATGTACTCTAGCACTATTTAGTTGATAACAAACATCAATACATACTTTCGCATTTATTTATATATCTTTGTCGTTAGTGTTCTTTGGACCAACAATTAGTACAATTGGTTTGTCCTATATGTAATGTTATGTGCAGTTTTAAGTACTAAGTATCTAGATCTTTCTATATTTTATCCTTGCGTTTATCTAATCGCATATCCGATATATGCAACGACATATATTAATGAGTATTATGTACTTGGATAATCGTAATTATTAATTAATATGTTTACAAAGTAATAATATTATTGAATTATGGATTGTAGGAATGTTTTATTCTAGAAACATGTTTCTGCGTAATATTGCGTGTTTATTTACATACTAGCTTTCACCCGCGACTCCGTCCGCGTGGAATTAAAAAAACTAAGTAGCCTATGTGTTCTTCCAGACTATCCTCTACATCCATACCAAATTTCATCGTAATCGGTTCAACCGTTTAGCCCACAAACTCTAACAAACATCCATCCATTCATCTAAACTTTCGCATTTATAATATTAGTATGATTCGTATGCGATTAAAAGTTTTTAGAGTGGTGCGACACGTTGCAGTTGTAGTTTTAAAACATGAAACTGTTGTGGCAATGTCCGTGTGGCATATGGCTTAAATCTTATTATTATTGGGTCAAAAAATCTACATTTTTAACTTAATTATACTAATTTAGTAATACAACTGAATTGGAAGCTTTTTGCTTCACTATCTTATCATAAGCTTGGCAAGTTTGACGAAAACGTCGGCTTATCTATTGAGATAAATTATATTTCCCGTATGCAGTGCGCATGTGATAAGACCGGTTTCCACTGCGGATTGATTTAAAATATCGTTGTCTCAAGATTTTTGTAGAGAAAGAAAGAGAATATGAAGTATGAACTTTTATTCCTTTTTTTATAGCTACCGGGAAAATAGAAAACGCGTCATGGGACGTTTAATTATATCTTACTTCGTATTTTACTTTCCTAATATTATAAACTAGCTGTTCCCGTGCGTTTTCATCCGCTTAATATTATAAAAATTTCATTTTAGTGTTTACATTTGTCAAATGTGTCAAATGTCAATTATCAAATGTCAAAATGACATGACGTCAAACCATGGCAACCTTGCTACCTTGATGTTGGCAACAACTTATGGTCTCTTTCCCACATTAGGGTTTTTATCCAAAATATTTACCCCTAAGTAACAGCGTAAAAGTATATAGCGTGACGTAAGTGTAGAGCTTTTTATTAAAAAAAGAGTTATTCGAAAATATGCTGTGATTGCTGACATGTTAGGCAACAAAGAAGTGTGTGTTTACGCTTTATTCTTTTAGTATAGATGTGAACGGATGACAATGATTTTTTGCATCGGCATAGGATGAAAACATAAGCTACTTGCTTTCGTATTTCTTAATTCCGCGCACACAGTAGCGGGAAAGAGCTAGTCATATATAGTTTTCCCCAATGTGGTAAATGGTTAATGATTGTTTTATATTCCTGGTTTATAACTGTTACACGTAATTTCCTTGATATTCTCCGTAATGTGTATCTTGATAAAGGATACTCTAAGAGCAGACTAAAGAATTGCTAATAAAACAAAGTCAGTGGCAGTTATCAGTATTAAAATCAAGTTTGCTGTCAGATAGATTCGTCGTTAAACGATAATAATCAAAGATAATTCGAATACGATTTTAGACACTACTAACTTTTGCCTCCGACTCCTTCCGCGCGGATTATAGCTCAAAAATAATGTATTCTATCACTATTTAGTTGATAACAAACATCAATTAATTTCCTTGATATTCTTCGTAATGTGGCTTTAAAAATGTGTTTTAAAATTATAAGAAATTATGTGGATTTTGTGTCTAATCTAAATGTCCTAAATTATAACATGCAAATATACAGTAATCGATAATGTTTGTTATGTTAGCATTGGCGTAGGTGTAATTAATTAAGGACGCATGTCAATATAAAACTCGTTTTATATCTAACTGGTTCTTTATCCGTCATTACTTTCAAACTTGTATTGTTTAAGGATTTACTTAATACTAGCTTTCGCCAGCGACTCCGACCGCGTGGAATAAAAAAATAAAAGTTAATACCCTATGTGTTTTTCCAGACAATTTCATCGAGATCTGTTCAGACGTTTAGGCTACAAACTCTGACAAACATCCATCTAAACATTCGCATTTATAATATTAGTAAGATATACTTACAGTTTGTTAACGGCAACCTAAGCAATACCTTAGTGTTAATTTCTGTTATTTAATCTATTGTAAGCAGCTTCTGTAATAACTATTAGCTTTTGCGTTATAGTAAGTGTCAAATAACACTCGCTTCGAGCAGTCGTAAAGTTTGAATATTATAATACCAAACAGTATACCCTAATAAATAGTGTTTTTATTTTCGACATCTTTCTTCTTCAAATCTAAAAATAAATGTAGCTAATCTTAGTGATAATTTAGCTTTCTAATAGCGGGCTTACACCTTTGACTAAACTGTGCGATAGTTTGTGCGATTGTCGATTGTTTCGCAGCCTCAACTGTTTGGTTGCACAACTAAAAATCGAGTAATGGTCACCTCCATATAACATAGGAATCAAAGCGAGACTAAACAGTTATGCGATAATATTAGTATAGATGTTTTGATAAAGTATTTGTCTATCATCGTCATCACCAGCTCACCATACGTCCCCACCGAGGGGCTCGGAGCCTACCCTAATATGGGGTGACTAGGTCATAGTCAACCACGCTGGCCAAGTGCGGGTTAGTTGACTTCAAACATATCTTTGAATTACTTCGCCGATATGTGCAGGCATCACGATGCTTTCCTTCACCGTAAGAACGTCGGGTAAATTATGTACATACGAAAATTCGAAAATCACATTGGTATATGGCGGGATTCGAACCCAAGACCTGTAGATTACAAGTCAAGTGTTCAAACCACTGAGCCACCGATGCTCTTTTTGAGTGATTTGTCTATGTTCGTCGGATTTTTGTCACTTTATCATAAATGTCTTTTATTGACGCATGAGATTCAAATCGCAAATATGTCTGGAAGTGACCACTGATGCTTATCAGAATCTTGATAATTTTATAACATTAAGCGCCTCTCTTTTGTCGATTTAAAAGACTGCATTATCGAGCGTCAATATTTTAATCTGTGTTTGTAATCTATTTTTACTTTCTTTGCATTTTTTAAGTTTTAAAAAATAACTGTTGCCCATAAACAAAAGCAGTTTTAATGAAAACAACTAAAAGATTAAAATTTTACATTTGAAGTTTAAATTGTACTTTAACAAAGTAAGTGTAACTTGGAAGCAAAGTCCAAGTATTCATTTACATAGTACAGGAGTTGCGTAATTTTTATGTACTCGTTGAAAAACGCAAATACTTGACATGATGACGTAAGCATGTTGACAGAGTGCAGTTCTACGGCTTTGATGACAGGGTTAATTTTAACAATATTTTGTAATTTTATTGCATACTAGCTGTTGCTTGTGACTTCGTCAGCGTGGAATTAAAATAAAATAGTAAAAAAAGCTTTCTAATACTAAACGAATTTTTGAAGTCGGCCCAATTGTTTTTGAGTTATTCCAATACATACAAAAATCTAAATATATAAATCTTTCCTCTTTATAATATTAGGATAGATATAAAAATACTGGAAAATTATAGAGAATCAGAACATTAAAGATCTGTCGACTAAATAGTTATACTGAAGAAAATAATATCGTAGATAATTCCAGATTTTTTAAATAGATTTTAAAGTGTGGTTCCGTGGACGTAATGCAACGACAGACATTATTACATTTTAATGATAACTAGCTTTCGCCTGCGACTCTGTTCGAATGGAATTAAAATCAAAAGTGAGTAGCCTATGTGTTCTTCCAGACTATCCTCTACATCTATACCAAATTTCATCGAAATCCATTCAGCCGTTTAGGCTACAAACTCTAAAAAACATCCACCCATCTAAACTTTCGCATTTATATTATTATGATTTGAATTATTTTGATATTCGATTCGCAGTTTGCCGTCTACCACGTCCCGTGTCATCACACCTTTACGTGTACTATAATTACTGGGTTTTATACAAAAGGAGTAATAAATGCATAGGGCTTTCCGAAGTCAACAACCTATTTGAAACAGGTTCAGGATCGTCAATCTCAGTAATGGTGGAAGGGGGTGACCTGACGATATATAATTTTCTGACATACGTTTACGATACTCGTAAAATAAGTTAAAATGCACGTCAAAATAACCCTTACAGCGTATAACATACGATAATGAGTTAGTCCGTTATTTGTGTAATGTGTTCAATTCAATTTTATTTTGACTGCCAAAGAATTGTTGAAGTTATAGACGCGACTTTTCAAAATTTACATTAATAGATACGATTAAAGGGCTTATAAAACTGTCAAAAGAATATAAACTTAACATGAAGCATTTTTTTTAGAGATATCATCTCTGTCTGTAATTGAAAATCGAACCATTTTAAATTTAAAATAAAGATTTTTATATTTAATATTAATGTAGGTAGAATATCGTTTTAAGATCAACAACTTTGCGACTTTGTTCATTGTCAAGGGCACACAAAACCACGACTGCACGGAAACGTGTGGACAATATCAACTGCTAACCAAATACGATTGTGAATTATAGTTTTCGAACGACCTTAAATATATTTATGTCATCGTTTCTATTACATGTTAATTGTATGCAAGGATTCCTTGTTACGCACAAAACCAACGTTATTTAAAAAAAACTATCGACTATATGAACTTTGTTCAAGGAAGTTAAACATATTTAATATTCAAACGTCGTCTTGTTTTTAAAACGCATTTTTATTACTCAACTATAAGTAACGTAATAATAAATTCAAATACCTAACAAATATTTATTATGTATAAAATGTTGAAAATAAATAATTTAACACTCACATTATATCAGGAAAATCCTGTTCTCGATTTATTAACGGCTTCACACCGGTGTTCCAAATAACAACACTGCACAAATATATTTTAGTTACGGGTTACGCAGTCCGGGTTCATAAATGGCGGGAGAATGTGACAAGCGCGTACGATCGGCGCGCGTCTCTGCTGCGGACTGGCCGATTGGCCGAGCGCTTTTTCTTTAGTGTTCCCGCGCCGGCTCTAGGGACGCGTTGCTTTTGCCTTTTTATTTTTAATTTAGAGTGCGTGAACCGATTCGATAAACACGGAACACGTGATGTCAACGTCAGGTTGGTTTTGACTGCATTATTTTGTGATTTTTATTTAACTAACGCACTTACGTCATCAAATAAAAAATGTTTATTCAGTTTGTTTTTAACAAACGATCAATGCGGAAGTCCATATATTGCTAGTTATTGCAATGTCATGGTCAACATGATCGGGCTCGTGTCTTGATAATTAATGCTTTATCTAATCCGAAAGCATTTCAGTGTTACTGCTTGTCTTTAGTGCAGTTAATTATTGCCTTGAAAGTTTAAATTACTACTCTAAAAGGCTTTGTCATCTTTACCGTCGACAATTCCGAACACTGCATGATTACGTACTTCAATATCTTTACTACCAAAACGATTTATTACTTCAAATGCTAGCGTAATATCGTTTTAAGTGAATAACCCCGTATACTTCCATTCAAAGTTTACTGCGGCTCGCATTTCGGTGACGCTACAGGAGGAAATTTTTATTATGGCGGGACGGGACCTTTTGCGACGAGGGGACGGTTGGAACTTATTTTATTTCATAACGGTTCCATCTGTCACCTTATTGGTGATGGTGGGACTAAAAGGTGGGACGGATGAAACTTTTTATTATCACTTGGGGACAGAGCGGGGTGACGGTTGGGAATAATCCTTTTACACATTATCTTGATACTTGAACTTGTTTAATCTTGTGATGTAAGTTATTTTTGTGCATATTGAAACAACGGTTCGTTTTATTCTGACACGTTTATTTTTTTTGTACAGATAAAAAATTAACTAACGTTTTTTTATAATTCATTATTGTTTTTATGTCATTGAAATTGCATTGTTATGTAAATGCTCGTTACTAAGAATATTGAATTAAAATGAAGTAAAACCTAAGTTCTAAAATCGACGCGAATTATTGAAAGCAGCAATTTAAAAATACAGCAGAACCTCGATAAAAGTCCAAGGGAAACACAAAATACTTTAAGTTATAGAGGTTTTAAGCTATAAAGGGTCTATGTTGTAGAGGTTTTGGGCTCTGTTAAGAAGGGAACATATTATTGTTTGAAGTTATAGAAGTTTTTAAGCTACAGAGGTTTGAGTTATCGAGTTTCTACTGTAATTGCATAGCTCTCAAGAATGAAAATAATACTCCATGATAAACTATTGTCCATAATGAATTAAAAAAAAACTTACATGAAATGTTCACAAGATTATAAAAGTCCTGACTTGGGTGCGTTTTAATTGATTTTATCAATTTCTAGTCTATACTATTATAATAAAGCGTAAACACGCACTTCCTTGTTGCCTATGTCCCACATGTAAATATTTTGGACAAATACCCCAATGTGGAAAAGAGACCATAAGTTGCTGCCAACATCAAGGAAACAAGATAGACAAGGTTTGTCACTTCATGTCATTTTGACATTTGCTATAGATAATTTGACGAATGTAAAAATAAAATAAATTTTCATGATTTCGTCGTGCTAAAAGTCGCACGGGAACAGCTAGTTCGTAAATAAATTAGTGCTGTATTTCTCATCAATTTGACGAGGACTTGTTATTTTTTGTTAAGTTTTTAATTGTTTTCTATAGGCTATTTTATCTCTTTTTATTTTGTAAAAATTTACTTACGTTCGTAACAGTTAGATGGGTAAAAGCGAGGGTGATTTTCGTTAAAGAGGGCGAATTTTGAAGGGTGGTTGTTGAACCCTTATATGATCGAATGCTGTTTAGGGTGAGGGTGGTTTTCTTATAAAGTTACTTATATACTTTGTGATGAAAAAGTCATTAATGTTATTATTTTGTAAAGAAAATTGTAAATGCATGAAATTTTCTCTTGTTTTTACTAGAGAAAATTTTTATATCTGATTTTATTTTTTTATTAATATGTTTGTACTTTTAGTTATTTACATATAGCGCTATATTATTATATATTTGCCTAGCTGCAACGCACTCTTATTTAAGGCGTAATTGGATGATAATAATACTGAATTACTTCATGTTTTACGCCAGTAAAGTTCTTATCTTGCGGCTAACATTTGTTTTATCCTGTCGTTTCTAGGAATCGCCTTTTTGTGGAGGAAAACCATATATATTATAGACATAAGTTACACGAAACTATAATTCAATAGCGACCTCCTGTGATGGCGAAATGAATGCCACAAAATCCTTGGCAAGCAGAAGTTATACCATGTCATTCTGTGCTCTAGTAGTGTTTTCTCTCGCGATTTTTTCAGCACCCCCGTTTTAGCCATAACTTGGTGGGCGGTATAGTGTGACGTAAGGTTTCTGTTCAGCGTTCTCGGTTTACCACCATTATCACATTACCCTAGTCAGTTAAAACTTATAATAACTAAGTCTTAATCGGTAAGCCATGTCAACAAGACTGAAAAAATTAAAGGCTAAATTAATTACTACGGAACGCATATATGGACAAATTTTTGGTTGTTTGTCGTGATAAGGAGTGTCATCACCGCATTGCTGTAATCTATTTACAGACTTAAAGTTATAAAGTAATTGTGAAGTTAAGCAAGCGACGACGAATGTGAAAATACGAAGGAAAATACATGTGGCGGAAATGCGAATGTTAAGATGGATGTGTGGGGTAACACGATTGGATAAGATACGAAATGAGTATATTAGAGGAAGTTTGAGAGTAGCCCTAGTGGTTGAGAAAAAAGGAGTAAAAGGTTAGCGTGGTATGGGCATGTTATGAGAAGGGATGAATCGCATGTACAAGACAGACGTTCGTTATGAATGTGGAGGTACACCGGTAGAGGTAGACCTAGAAAGAGATGGATGGATTGCGTGAAAGGTGACATGATCAAGAAGGGAGTGATGACTGATGAGATGACGGATGATAGAGTGCTTTGGAGGACGAAAACCCGGTGCGCCGACACAACGTTGGATAAGACAGGAGAGATGATGAACATTTCAATTCCGTCTGGACTAAATTGCGGGCAAAGTTCGTATATGGATCGTGTATTGTCAAGAAATATTCTTTTCACGTTTTACTTTTTAACAGACATTCGATGAATGAAAAACCCGTTATAATTGTTACGTAATTTCTTTGTAACCAATATGTCGTATGTTTTATCACTGTCTCTTTCCCTCTTTACTTCTTGACGTCATAATGACGTCAAATTGACTCAAGTCGCATAAAGTGGCGAGTGGCTGTAGTTTTGCATATACACATAGGTTTTCACTGCCCGTTAGTAAAATTGTTTTATCTCACATTCTCGATGCTATAAATAAGATAATTATATTTTTTTCGGTAATGGAAATCTACCTTTATATTCTAAAGACATTGTCAAAGTAAGTAAGTTCGGTAATTTTTGACATTTCAAGGTAATGTTTAGATTCACAATTTACGTATTGTTTCATTTTTGGTGATAATTAGCATGTATGCTGTAAATGGTTAATATTCAATCACATTTGCGTTGTAACTTCATGAAAAAAATACTTATATAAATTGTAGGGGCCAGATAATTTGGTCGTAATATATTTAAAATAGCGAAATAAATTTACTTCAATTTGTATTTGAGAAAGACTAGTGCATTGTTCTACTGCAAAATAATAACATGAAGCGCAATTTAGGGCTGCCAACATGAACAAGAAATTGCAACATAATGCACCATGCACACCTCTAGGCAGCCCTTGAGATCATAACCTCACTTATAAGTGATGATTTATCTAACCGTGTACGTCTTTAGTCCATTATATAACACCCAATATTATTTCAAAGGTTAGTTTACTACGTTATTTGACCATTATTGAGTTAATGAAGCTTGGGTAAGGTTTAATTTGAAAGTTTATATGGATGGATGGATGTTTGTTATAGTTTGTAGTCTAAACAGCTCAATGGATTTCGATGAAATTTGACGAGATAGACTAGAAGAACACATAGGCTATTCACTTTAGTTTATTTTAATTCTACGCGGACAGAGTCGCGGGCGAAAGCTAGTTTTTATATAAGAGAAGGGTGCAATCGGGAACACCGATGTGCACATCGACGGCCATGGACATCCGCAATACCAAAAGAACTGCAGATGCTTTGGTCGCCTTTGAGAAAGAAGTTTCAACTCTTGAACAGAACGTTGAGGCTGTCTCAATAAAAATATTTTTAATAATATATACATTAATTAACTTGTATTTATATTTGAATTTGTAAATTTCTTTCGTATATAATTGCAACGCGTATGATCTTCATTTAAGTGTAGTATCTAGAAAGTGTTATGAAAGTGAATCATGAATCGAATGATGTTTTCTTTTAAAATCAAACAAGATATAGTTTATATTAATATGATACCACCTGTCGTTTTAAGTGAAATTGGATGACTAATGATATAGTGTGATCCAAACTTTATGGTGGCTCGCAATTCCCCATAACTTTAGTATCGGACCAAGGAGAAAGGGTGTGTTGTATAGACAGTAGTGTCTGTTGCGTAACAGACCCTACAGACCCCACCCAACAGATCCTAATTCAAGACATTTAAATAAACTAAGATATATGAACTAGTAAGATGCTTAACATGTCATATAGCTCACTCAAAACCTATTTATCAGTATTTAAACATGGGACCACATTTTGATAATAAATACTCCTGAAAAAAATGTTATATATTTTCGGCTAGCAACGCTCTTGCAGACTAATGTATGCAGTATGCGAGGGACCAGCGAAGACGTCTGCATGTTCGCGAACTGCTAGAAAGTTTGCATCTTATTATACTTTACATCCAAAAGCATTTCTACTTAAACATTTAGCAGATTATATTACATATGTGTTGAAGATTGAATAATATTTTTTTCTGAATACATGTGCTCATATCCCGCGTCCTCTACAGTGTGTGTACATATCTGTACATGCTAAATCATTTTACGATCTAAGTTGTTTTGTAAACGAATCGAAAATGGAGTTGTGACGTCAAAAGTCTCGTGTTTAACACATCTAGTGTCGTAGATACAATTCAAAGTACAATCTGATTTTTTTACGATAGACTTTTGTATGTAAAAACATAGATTGTTAGCTTATATTATCAGTCTGTATTATAAAGATGAAATTTATGGTTTTAGTTTAGACTTGGCTTTGACAAGGAAAAGGTGGGAAGGGGAATTAGGTAGCTAATGGCAACGCGTCTTCAAATGCCTATGGGCAGCAATTGTTTTGCTATTTTGACGTAATACGGTGGCTTGCTTGTTTGTCGTCTCATACTTTAAAACTGTTGTTTCTTTTTTGCCACTGTAAAGTTATCAATTTTCTCTTTATATTTATTAACTAGCTTTCACCCGCGACACCGTCCTCGTGGAATTAAAAAAAAACAAAAGTAAGTAGCCTATGTGTTCCAGACTATCCTCTACATCCATACCAAGTTTCATCGAAATCCGTTCATCTGTTTAGGCTACAAACTCTAACAAACATCCATCCATCTAAACTTTCGCATTTATAATATTAGTATGATGGTTATTGCGACGTGTAATATAAGACTCAGCATGACATAGATCTCCTAGCCTCCATTGACACGAGGCGCCGTGCAGATTGTCACAATTGGAGGTGCAACCTTTAACCCCCGCTTCATTGACACTACTGCGCAGTAATGACACTATAAACGTGTCATGACATAAATATATCGATCAAATACTGGTGATGTTAAGTTCCGGACGAATCTACTCAAATTCCATTTCAGTCTAACGCCTAGTTAATACAAACATTTATGTCGTTTACGTGGCGGCCATTTTGAAATTTCCGTCACTTGGCGAAATTCGGTTTTAAGTGTTTTGGAATTTTTGGAGTTATAGCGTGATAATTGTAGTCTATCTGTTCGACTTCTATTGATTTGAAATATGATTCCCAATACTTTATGCGTTAATAATTACGCTTCGTGTTTTATCCGAGGCGTCATTCAATACTTGGTATAGAATGGAGTAGTCTCTGATATTACAGACGTTTCCAGCAAATGCTTTTGTAAACTGCTCATTGTTACACGACCGCGCAACCCGACCTTAGCAGCCGCCCTCTACGTTACATGTCACCGTAAAATTGAAAATATAGAACGTTTTCAATCAGACTAAACATCAAAGTGTCCCTAAGGTTCGAGAAAAGGATAACTGGACCGTACTGGTCTCGCCAAGGCTATCACGCATCTTTCTTTGTACTGTCTCACTTCTTTCTTATTAATGTTATAAATGCGTAAGTTTAGATGGATGTTTGTTAGAAGGTATCTCTAGATCGGGTAAATGGGTATCGATGCAATTTGACACAGATGTAAAAGATAGTCTGAAAGAACACATAGGGTACTAAGTTTCTGTTTAATTCAAGACAAAATCCAGTGCTGTCTATAAAATCGTAAAATAGATTGGATGGATAATGGATGTTTTGATAAGTTATCAATACCAGGAGGTGGGGTCGGGGTCAAGCACTAGTTTGTTATAAAAATAACCGAAACTTATCTAACTGCATGATCGTGTCGAGACCTTATAAATTAGTGTTTTTTTTATGTTTTAATTAACTAAGATAACAGAACACGTGTACAATAAATGCTTATTTACATCGAATTATGTAGAAAATGTTGGTGTTTTGTTTCTAAGAAAATTCTATATAAAATCACATTCTCCAGAGAAAAATGGCAAAATACTGAGACATAGATATTTAATTATTTTTTTCACGTAATGCTTAATATTTGTACGCTTATTGTTCCAGAGACCAATCGTATGTTGGCGAGTGCGTCTTTTGTTGGTCTGCTCATCGTGATCGGTCTACCGCTCTGGTGGAAGACGACAGAAGTCTACAGGTATGCCATCCAAAGTTTAAGAAGGCTGGTTCCACAGAGTAGCATGTTCACCAGAGGCAGCTGTCCCTAGAGTATCGTAAATCATACTTCATACTTCATATTATAAATGCGAAAGTTTAGATGGATGGATGGATGGATGGATGTTTGTTAGAGTTTGTAGCCTAAACGGCTGAACGGATTTCGATGAAATTTGGCATAGACGTAGAGGATAGTCTGGAAGAACACTTAGGCTACTCAGTTTTGGTTCTTTTAATTCCACGCGGACGGAGTCGCGGGCGAAAGCTAATATTATAAATGCGAAGTTTAGATGGATGTTTGTTAGAGTTTGTAGCCTAAACTGCTCAACGGATCTCGATGAAATTTGACATAGATGTAGAGGATAGTTTGGAAGAACACATAGGCTACTCACTTTTTAATTCCACGCATGCGTAGTCGTGGGCGAATGCTATTCCAATATTAATCCAAAACACAAGCTGTCAGTCACAAAGCACAAAACACAAGGTGCAAGTCAGAGAGATCTTTCTGTTCGGTAATACGAAATGTTTCTTCTAACTATGTCAATATATCATACCTCGTCAATTAACACACGATAACTGATACATAATATTTATGTAACCGTTCGATAAAACCGATATAAGTATATATAAATAAACAAAAACCTAACGCTGCGTTACGTAACTAAATGTTGTATAAATAATTTAGAGGTCAAGAGTTTATCGCTGCAATGCGCAGTAAAAAATTATGTACGTATCGCTTTGAAGTCTGAATAAATGCATTAAGAAAATAATTGAAGTGTAAGTGAGAGAGAGTGAAGATTGGCTTCTTAGGAGGACCATTGTGAAAACAGGGAATGATTATCAGACAATCTCAATAACAGGGGTAGACGCCAGCAACATACCATAGTGTGCCAGCCGGCCGTGTAATACGACGACCACACAGAAGATAGACGTGAAGTGGAAGTAATTCCACGATTAGTCTGATGAGTGTGCGTGCTGAAGGCTTGATTTAAGTCACTTATAAGAGTGGGAAAGGGAAGCGGATTTGACGGAGATGATGTCTAAGAACAAGACATTTCCTCTTCTTATGCGTCTCGTCCTCCGTAGATATGTAGACGCTTTGCCACCTATCAATATAAAATTCTAATGCAACATATTACCATCTCTCTCATTATTTTTAACAATAACAAAGACAGCAATACTATAATAGAATATCTATACTTCTAGAGTATCGCTACCATACGACAAGATAAGCGAATTCGACACGCAGGCGCATTACATCACCACTGAACTGACAGTCCTCGCTAATGATGAGAAGACCGCAGCTGAAGTCACCGAGCTCATCGAGAAGGCTTTCAAAGACTATGGTGAGTGTAGAAATTAAACATAAGTACAGTTGGTCAATCTGTAGGTGTACACTTTTAAAACTAAAAGCTTCTGTACGCAATGAGACAAACGGAACAATCAATATGACGTAGCTTTTCAATATGCCTGGTACGAAAACAGATCGGTCGGTACAGGACTATTTGCTTATTATTATAAAACACTAGCTGTTCCCGTGCGGCTTCACACACGTGACATTATAAAAACTTTATTTTATTGTTTACATTTGTGAAATGTCACAATTCAAATGCATAAATGACAACCTTGGTTCCTTGATGTTGGCAGCTCGTAGCTTATAGTTTCTTTCCCACATCAGGGTTTTTATCCAATTTATTTTACCCTCTAAGTTTAATAGCGTGAAAAATGTGTACCCTAAAGCGTAACGTAAGTGTAGGGCTTTTTGTTAAAAAAGAATTATTCAAAAATATGCAGTAATTGTTGACATCTTACGCCATAAAGAAGTGTGTGTTTACGCTTTATTATATTAGTATAGATTGTAAATGCACACATACATACTCGTATGTATGTGTGAAGTCAACCCGCAGTGGTCTAGTCACCGCTAAATAACGTGGGCTCCGAGCCTCTCAGACGGGTCGTATAGTGAACTGATGGTGATGTTTGCAACTCACTATTACCTTATTGGTTGTTAAAAGAGGCGGATATATCGTTGCAAGGAACATTTTTCAGGTTTTCTAAAGTGGGTCACGACACCACGGATTTCCGCGACTATATTTTTGACTGCTGAATGCAATGTTCGAACTACGAGATCGATTGTCATTTTGTTACCTTAATTGATTCGATTTTTAAAAAAGAGATATACAGTCAGTTGCGATCTTTTTTTTAAATCAACGAATTGTATTTCAGTGGTTTTAATGTCACGGAATTACGCGTCGATTAATAATGCAGTTCGGTATAAAATGTAGATAAGACACATGATATTTTTTTATATAGTTTCCAGTACGATTATCGGCCAGTTTCTTAAAATAATTCGCCCTTTACGATAACCTGCCGGGTTAGTGACCTTGAACTTGACAGTTTCAAATTAGTTGTCATTCATCAATGTGATAAAATAATACTGATCATAAGATCGGAATGTAAATATTATAGTATAGTTTGTTTGGGCCGATGTGGCAGGTTAGAAAACAGTTTGCAACTATATAATTTACTTAATATTAAATACTAGCTGTTCCCATGCGGCTTCATCCACATGGAATTATAAGAATTTTATTTTTTTGTTTACATGGGTCAAATTATCAATTCCAAATGTCAAAATGACATGACATGATGACAACTTTGCTTCCTTTATGTTGGCAGCAACTTATGGTCTCTTTCCCACATTAGGTTTTTTATCCAAAAGATTTACCCCCTAAGTTTAATGTCGTGAAAATATATAGCCTAAAGCGTGACGTAAGTGTAGAGCTTTTTATTAAAAAAATAATTATTCAAAAATATGCTGTAATTGCTGACATCTTAGGCAACGAAGAAGTGTGTGTTTACGCTTTATTATAATAGTATAGGTATAGATAAAATTACAACCATTGTATAAACGAAGATGTATTATTATATAGTAAAGTATATACAAAAGATTGGAAATAGAACTAAACAAAATATATTTCCCATATCTCTGCCTACCCTTCTAGATTACAGCCATAACTGATTCATATTATTTGTTTGATCTATAACAGGAAATATTGTAGAAACATCGATTTGCAGCGGAACTATATCTAGTTCAAGTTATTTGAACTGTTATTTATAGAATACTTCCGTAATTATTTGACCCTCAGACTAGTAGACTTAAAGACCTCAACCCGTTTATGTAAGACTAATAGAGCCTAGATACAAAAAAATACTTTGTAAGTATAGACTTTATGGTCCTTCGCAAGCAGGATGTTTTAAGTTTTATAATCTGTACTATCTATTCTTCTATACTATTATAATAAAGCGTAAACACACACTTCTTTGTTGCCTAAGATGTCAGCAATTACAACATATTTTTGAATAATTCCTTTTTTAATAAAAAGCCCTACACTTACGTCACGCTTTAGGCTATATGTTTTCAAGCCATTGACTTAGGGGGTATATATTTTTGATAAAAACCCTTATGTGGGAAAGAGACCATAAGTTGCTGCGAACATCAAGGAAGCAAAATTGCCATACTTTGTCATCATTTTGACATTTTCAATTGAATTTGACAAATGTAATCAATAAAACAATTTTCATAATTTCATGCGAATATAGTCGCACGGGAACAGCTAATTATAAAATAAATATTTTACGCAAAACAAAGCGTCTGTTAATAAGTATATCACGATTATATTATTTTAAAGGTTAAATTATTTAACGTATACAACAAACAATATATGATATCCAAGTAAAAGAACATAGTAACGTAAAGTTTGCTTGTTTTAATGGAATGGTATGGTTCCAGATGTTTTAAACCTCAAGATAACGAAGGTAGTACTCCCGGAAGGTTTGCGCAGGAGTCTGGACTCGGTCGCAGATGAACATGAAGCGGTGGAGGAAGTGGGGGGTGCTTACGACCTCCCACAGCACAATAAACTGTATGTCGTCCAGCGATCACCACTATTCCAGGATGTATGGCTTGGTACTGAGAGGGTTGTATTCTTTAGGGATGCTAAAGGTATGTGAATTACATTTTCAGATTTTTTTTGGAGGGAAGTTGCAAACTGCATACTAGTAATGGTAGCAAATAATGATAGGCTTACACATAACAAGATAGATAATTTTTTTTTTATAATATAAGGTGGCAAACGAGCATGCGGCCACCTGAATCAAAAACATAGGCAACTGTAATTGCGTTGCCTACCCTTAATTGACGGAGGAGACGCACATAAATAGGACATTTCCTTTTCCTATGCGTTTCCTTCACCGTCAAATCCACTTGCTTCCCATCCTATCTTCTTAAAAAAGGGTGGAAAGGAAAAGGGACAAAAATTAGGCCTCCGGCACCACACTCATCAGACTGTAAGCTGAATTGCTTCCACTTCACGCCTGTTTTTTGTGTGGTCGTGGTATTACACCGGGCGAATCGACCCATTCGTGTAAACATGTTAAAGCGGGCTCTATCACTGTTATTCATTGCAAATGTGATTTGTGTATTGCTTTTAAGAAGGGAATGCGATTTTTACTTCGATGGCCCGTAAAGAAATTCTATGAACTATATTTCAGCGGCCAATACCCTCGCAAAAGTCTTAAAGCAATGGATCTACGAGCCGTCAGTGCTGAGAGGCGCGAGGTCCGAGACGGCGGACTCGACGCGGCGCGTGCGCTTCCCTCCCGGACAGGGGTACCATGTGGTGCTGTCCGTGGTGCACCCTCGGCCACAGGACCTGAAGGTGGAATTAAACGCGAGGGAGGCGGTTGAAGGTGAGTTCTCACACACATGTATATATGTACACACTTATTTTTTTGGCCCAGTTTCACAGAAGATTTGCTTTGATACTACTACTGTTAAGTTATGAATGTAATAAGACTTTTTTTTTATTATTATGTAAGGTGGCAAACGAGCAAGCGGCCACCTGAATCCACCGAAATGGAAAGCAACTGCTGCCCATAAACATCCGCAATTGCAGATGCGTTGCCTACCCTTCATTGACAGAGGAGGAGACGCACATAAAGAGGACATTTCTTCTTGCTATGCGTCTCCGTCAAATCCACTTTTCCTTCCCATCCTTTCCTCTTAAGAAAGGGTGGAAAGGGAAAGTGACTAAAATTAGGCCTATGGCACCACATTCATCAGATGAAACGCGGAATTGTTTCCACTTCACGCCTGTCTTCTGTGTGGTCGTGGTATTACACCGGGCGAGCCGACCTTACAGTGCGAAGATGTTTAAGCGGGCTAAACTAAAAATATAATAAAAATCGTCGCCCATTTTGCTATAGATATCGGCCCAGTAGTTTTTAAGAGAATCTTATACATACAAAAATACAAATCTTTATATTATTAGTATAGATGTAGGATTATCACAAACACACACCTTCCTTCCTCAATAAAATGACGTCACTGAGTATGATGACGTCACTTGCGCAGATTACATCGGCTCGTTCGTGGATGAGTTGTCAGAGCTGCATAACTTCACCCTCAAGTCGCAGTGGCTCTATCTCCTCAACTTTGACTTCCAGGCGACAGAGGTTTGTCCCCCTTCTGTCACATGTTCCTCAAATGAGACAGAACAGCTTGCTTATTGTCATAATATATTTGGAATGTTTAAAATCAGATAAATGAAATTAAAAATCTTGGTCCTTCGAAAGCAGGATAAAACGGCATCAAGTCGCTTTAGTTTAGTTTATTTTCTTTTTTGTGTTTACATATGTAATTTTTCGTAAATGTAAAAATAAATTATTATCATTCAAACTTGTAGAAGTGCACCTATCTTGGCCCCTAACTTAAGTTAGGAATTGCCCTTAGTACCATAGTGCAGCTTGCTAGCACTAAGTTTGAGTGCGAGTGCAGTAAGAGGTGAGCAGGTGAAGGAGGAGGGCGAGTGGGGGCGGCAGCTGGCGGTGCGCGAGGAGCGCCTGCACCTGCTGCTGACGGCACTGGAGGGGCGCGCCGCCACGCACGTCTCCGACCTGCCCACCCTCAACCTGGCGCTGTACGTGCTGCCCTGCGCACAGGCGCCCCTCGTCATCTACGACTCCGACAGTCCGTATCTCTGATTGAACTGTTTCTTTCTTGATACATCATCATCATCATCATCATCATCAGCCATTGTTTGCCATGTATAGTACATAAATAAAATAAATCGTCGACCGTCAGTAGCTCAGTGGTTTAAGCACTTGACTTGTAATCTACAGGTCTTGGGTTCGAATCCCGCTGTACCTGTGATTTTCGATTTTTCGAATTTTCATATGTACATAATTTACCCGACGTTCTTACGGTGAAGGAAAACATCGCGATGCCTGCACATATCGGCGAAGAAATTCAAAGATATGTGTGAAGTCAACCAACTCGCACTTGGCCAGCGTGGTTGACTATGGCCTAGTCACCCCTTATTAGGGTAGGCTCCGAGCCCCTCGGTGGGGACGTATAGTTGACTGGTGATGATGAAAATAAATAAATAAAATAAAATAGCCTTTATTGCTTTACATATTACAAATAATAATAAATGCCTAGATACTAAAACTTTTTTTTTTAATCAATTATTATTATAGTTTTCATCTCAATTATCGGCAACAGGTCGTTTGTGCGGAAAGGCTTGTCTACCAACAAAGGCCTCATGGATTGGGCATACACCTTCTATTAGCATATATGTTCTTCCAGACTATCCTCTACGTCTATGCCAAATTTCATTGAGATCCAATCTGCCGTTTAGCTTACAAACTCTTACAAACATCCATCATCAAAACTTTCGCATATGTAATTTTTGTAACATTTAAATAAATGAATGCGGTCTCGTTTTCTACATTCAACGACTTTTGCAAACTCCCAATGTATTTTTGTATAGATAAAAAAGTATCGAGTCCAGTGCAAGCGTTCATGTCCCCGAAGTGGGGGGGCGTGGTGTTCGGCAACCCCTCCCCCGCGGCGTGCGCCACCGCCCCCGCCGACGCCAGCGCCCCCGCCCCCTCCTGGGCGCCGCCGCTCCCCCTCGTCATGGGCACCTTCATAGCGCAGCTGCGGGAGCTGCTCGGCATCACGGACAAGGTAATACTGATTTATTTATTCAAAAATGTAGAAATATGTTGGGAACAATGCCAGTAGCTGGCGCACTTGCATTCAAGTTTCGCATGCCAGTTATAGAAATGTGTAAACTTCAGGTATACGGAATTGGTTTTTGTCGAAATTACGTCCATGTAAGTTCAGGGAGGGGCTGAGGGCGTACGAAATATGACATACACGTTTCGTACTGTTGTGAACTGGCATGCAATCTGTTCCATTTCACTGGCATGTATCCCACTCTAATTACGTAAAGCCAAAACCCATTTTAGGAGCACCACTGCAGCTTAATGGAGCAATGACTTACTACGGATACTATTATTATCGTTTCTTTTTTATATAAAAGACAGTAGACGAACGGAGCAGCAACAAGAAGGTGGTCATCAGAAATGCGCAATATGGTTCTATCGCTCAGGCCATAATATGTTCTGTAGGCAAGTATCTCCGGCGCGCACCTGGAGGCGCTGCGGGCGGTGTCGCCGCGCCGCTGGGAGCTGGACGCGCTGCTGCGTCTGCGCACGCTGGAGCAGCTCGCCGCCGCGCACCACCACCTGCGCTCGCTGGCGCAGCTGCTCGGTATACTGGCCCACACCTCACTCTCGCTTTGCCTACCAGCCTTGAATGGCTCGCCCCCAGCAATACAGGCGTTAAGTGGAAACTATTCTGTGTACAGTCTGATTCCTTTTTTAAGTGGAAAGTATGGGAAGGGAAAGTGGATGACGCATAGGAAGGGGAAATATCTTTATGTGCGTTTCCTTGTCCGTTGATCAAGGGTTGGCAACGCATTTGCAATTGAGAGTTTCTTTCATCGGATTCAGGCGGCCGCTTGCTTGTTTGCCACCTTATAATATAAAAAAATACGTCTCTTCAATTCAATCTTATAGTTTATAAACCTTCACAATGAAATTTGACTTTGTAAACGTATAATAACTTACAGACAAATAACATTACCAATATCATTCGACTAAAACATAATTATATGAAAATCCATACAAATAGTTTATAGTTAATATTTCCCAATCAGGTGAGATATCGAACATAGTGATAAACGACGAGGTGGGCGCGGGCATCAACTCGGCGGTGACGTCATCGGGCGCGGGGCGCGCGGCTGCGGAGCGCGGCGCCCTCCTGCGCGCCTACAGAGACTCTCTTGACGCCTACCTCGCCGCCGAGACCGCCTTCATGGAGCCCAGTCTGCTCGCGCTGCTCTACTTCCCTGATGATCAGAAGTAAGCCTTTTATTACTTGCTTAAAGTCTTTTATACGTTCGATCTGCCCCCCCCCCCCTCTTTTACTTTTAGGCATCGTAGTCAATGACACGACTCAGGGTAACTTACTTCTAACTAATGTAATCTGAAAGTTTGGATAGATAGATATTTATACTGTCGGTGCCTACACCGAATGTTATCACGTGAGTTTAGCCGTGTTATAATTTATATAGATAGATATTTGTTAGTTCCACACCTACGAAGTCGCAGGCCAAAGCTAGTACCAATAAATTCTAGCTTTTAAATGTGTCTGTACGAAAAAATGATGGGTAAACGACAAATTATTTTTTAATATTATCCCGTCGTTTGTGCAACTGTCACTTAATTTGTTATTTGTAAGAAACGGAGCTTGTCTCGTTGTAACAAGGCATTTTTTTCGAAAGTGGAAGAAAAATTAAACATAAACAAATATGGAGCGTCTTAAACATTTTAAAATTAACATCTCGAAAAATCTTAAGATATCTAGATTAGTTTTTTCTAACATTTTTATTTTCATTTAATTCTAATTTAAATAAATTGTTTTTTTTTTCAGATATGCAATCTACATTCCACTGTTCCTGCCCATCATGTTCCCAGTCGTACTCTCTCTGAAGAACTTATTGCTCTGGCTTAAAAAGAAACCTCAAACTAAAGAGAAGACTGATTAAAATGCTTATTTTAACCTATAGAAGTTATTTAATAAAGTTTAATATGATAATGGAATTTTATTTAATACCTAACTTACCGAAACTTTCTATATCTATACTATTATAATAAAGCGTAAACACACACTTCTTTGTTGCCTAAGATGTCAGCAATTACAGCATATGTTTGAACAATTCTCTTTTTTTTTTAATAAAAAAACCCTACACTTCCTTCTTGCTTTAGGTTATATATTTTAACGCCATTAAACTTAAGGGTAAATATTTTGGATAAAATTCCTAATATGGGAAAGAGGCCATAAGTTACTGCCAACATAAAGGAAACAAATTTATCATGTTGTATCATTTTAACATTTGTAATTGATAATTTGACCAATGTAAACAATGAAATAAAGTTTTTATAATTTATGCGCATGAAGCCGTTAAAAGTTCATTTAATATGTAAATTTATATATTTATATCCCAAGAAAGTGTGTTTTATTGCTGTTTTAATTACCTTAAATTATGTATATGTATAAGGTACTAGTTGTTCCCGTGCGGTTTCATCCGCATGGAATAATGAAAATTTTATTTTATTGTTTACACTTTCCCACATTAGGATTATATCCAAAATATTACCCCCTAAGTTTAATGGCGTAAAAATGTATAGCCTAAAGAGTGACGTCAGCGTCAACATCTTAGGCAACAAAGGAGTGTGTGTTTACGCTTTATTATAATAGTAAAGATAGTATAGACTAGGGGAAATAAAAGAGTATATATGCTTCACATTACAATATATTATGTAAAACTGAGGTAATTTGTCACAATCAAAATTCATTTAAAATTCTTAAATGCTATACAATATCTATGCAATATTTGCAGCAACCGAACATTGTCTTAAAAGCGATTATTTTTATACGTATTTATTATAACAAATAACATGTATATTAAATTTAAAAATATTACTAACTAAAGTATAGGCACAAAAAAAGGGGACTCAATGTTTTTTATAATTATTTTTTTATTTCGCAATCGCTTTCAAGACAATTTACCAAAATATGGCGTAAATGTGATAGTGCAGAATATCGTAAAGTGTCATTCTACTTTATAACAAATGAGATTGAGATCGTGGGAGATGTTGATATGTTACAACGCGTTTCAATATCCACCTAGCCAATATACATAATATTTTTATTGAATTTTGTCAAAGAAATATAAAAAAAAAATTACCTATTACATTTTTTTAAATAAGGCATTGATTGTAACTGCAGTAGTGGCTAAACGAAGAAAAACATTTATCATATTAAAAAAGTAACCCCGTTCTATTATTTATGAATTATAAAATGGCGGGAATTTTAGGCGTGATTTTAAACAAAAAAAATATTAATTTTTTACACGTTATATTAATTCAAAAGTAGATTAAATATATACTCATAGATAGCCAATCTTTTCTTTGATATTTATTATGGTTTGTACTTACAAATCGAGCAATATTTCTTAACCTTGCAGAAAATAAGTTACAAAAAAACAAAAATCCTATTCTACTATAATACAGGCTTAAATTGTAGCATTTTGAACTGTTAGGTATTTTCACTGGCAACATCATCAAACTTTTAAACCACAGTAACGACAAACATTCAAATGGTCCAGCATTATGACTCCAGCCAGTCGGTCTCTGTGAGCATGGCCACATTCTCCCCCTTGCTGGGCCGGTACTCCACCTCCCATAGGGAAGTGACCAGGACCAGGGTCTCCCCCTCTACAAGTTCTAAATTCAAGGTATAACAGATATCTTCGCATGGCGCCCGCGGCTTTAATTGTATGAAATTCTTCCCTTTTAGCTGCGACATTATCACCAAACCCACATCCAGTTCTAAGAACTTATATCTATGGGTGTCATAATTTTTAGAGAGGAGTAACCAATTGAAGTGCGAAGGGGGGATGTGGGGGGAGAGGAAGTAAGGTCTGGGTGCGAGGAGTCGGAAGGACTTGACGGCGCGGATATCGCAGTTCTGGAAGTGCACGAACCAGCTAGGTATGTTGGTGCTGGTGATTCTGGAGACGATCTCCTCAAGGTCCATGGGTTGTCGGCCGAGGCGGATGTTGGTGAGGACGCGGCAGGGTACAGAGTCTCGCAGGCGGCCGTCGTCGCCGATGAAGCTAGTCAGGTTGAGGTCCCGGGACAGTGACCAGTCGTAGTGCGCGTCCTCGACGATGACGGGTGCACCTCGCACTAGATGGTGGTTGAATACCTCGTTGTAATTGGAATCAGTAACGCGGGCGATTGTCTCTGAAAAGTTATAAATCTATTAAAACTTTCTTGTATCATGTAATTTGGTATCTAATAAATATTTTAATGTCGTGGAAATGTTTTAATCTTGTTACCTTATAATAAAAATAACATTTAAAATTATAAGAAGACAAAAAAGCTTTGGCATCTATTCCTACGTATAATTTCTGTAACTTACGGATGGATTCACATGATATACAATCCGTAGGTGAAATCAAATCGTTGTCCAAGTTGTGGGGCTGCGACCTCTCGATCAGACATTTATTGTAATACAGCGGAGTCCAGTCCCAGATTGGAAGCAGTCGGATTAACATCATTCTGGCGAGGGCAGCCGCATGCCACTGGAAACTGTCTGTCTGGCTCACAGTATATCCAATAGCCAACACCATCACTACACATAAAATCGTGCGGGTCCATCTCTTAATGGATGCTTTCCTCACGGCCGATGTTAATGGGCGACATATTATGTCCATATCCTCATCTGATATTCCAGCCTCCTTACAATACTCGTAAAAAGAACGCACTTCCGAATTAATTAACTCGAATTTCTCCCGTTGGGTCATTTTTGCCGCGTTTTTCAAGCTCATTTTTAACGTGACCTACAACCCGCCACGACCATCGCCGCGATCGATATTTAGCTTGCGTTTTGTCAGAGCTTATCGATAAACGAATTTCGCGCGCGCGCGATAAGGGTTTCCTGTCAAACCATAAATAATACCATAGCCAAATAAGTTTTTTCTTCTTCTTTTTAACAGTAACATTAGAACAAAATGGAGACCAAAAAGGATATAAATAGAAAAATAATTTTTAGAATTTCATTGTTAAAATATCTATAGGTACGAGAGAAGTAATGATAAAAATTATCAATTCTCAACTTTAATTACGGATATCTTTTTGTTACATAGTTGTTTGTGAACAGAAGTGCATTTTTGTAACAATTGCACTTGTTTTATGAATATCCCCAAGATAGAGTTGGACACGAAAAATACAGTTTGATAGTTAAATAATTAAATCTATACAGTTATTATTTATCAATTCAAATACATATCAATGAATATTTCCTTTCGGTTAGTTAGTCCTAATCTTTTAAGGCTGTATTAATTCCACACCGATGAATATGTGGTACATGGTTTTTACATACATAGAAGAATAGTAAGAATATCAATTATAATTAAATTTTTCTGAGTATTTCTGAAATAAAAACTTCACAAAAGAACAACAAAGACTTTTTTAGGATGGCAATTTCATAAGTCAAGAACTTTTCCGCCATATTGTAAGTTAGCAAGTGGAAGTCGATCAAACACCAACCTTTTATGAGATTGGAGTTTACGGTGAAAAAATTGTAACTTTCAAAATAACGCAAAATTAATGTAACTTATTTAATTATTTGTTACCTATACGTATAAAGTTTTTATGACCGTGTTGCAATTTTTGCAATTCTTTTGATGGAAACGTCACAGCGCCATGTTGTATTCCTGCGCTGATTGCAGGCACGAGAAATCTGCCAACCCGTTTATTTTTTGGGATTAGACCCCGAGAATAAATCGAACTGCGATTTTGTATTCAAATATATTTTAATTTATATTTGTTGGCAAATGTCAAACAACTTTAGTGAATTCGATGTATCCCTGTTGTCGCATTTCGAGTGTTAACTCTTAATTTCAACTGCAGTTTAGTGCATCCGCGAAAGTTGAAAGGACTGTGTTGTAAAAGAAAGAAGTGATAATTAGCCAAAATTCCGGTCCCTACGCGCAGACGAGAAGGTGCCTACCCGCCGGGGCAGTCGGGCGAAGGAGATATGAACAACAAGCGCAAAAATCGCCAAGGGCCGCCGAGGTAAGGACAGTTTAGTTAACTTTCAGTATCGGTGTGACATGTCTTTGTTATTCGAACTGGACGTCGATGGCTTTGCGAATACTCGCCGTCCCCGTTGTCAAATTGACAGATTTTAGTTGTGTGAGCTTAGTGTATTATAAAGAGTGTAAACAAATGTGTCGATTGTATACGTAGTGTTAGGCGCGGGACACGCCGCCGTCGGAAGACGTTGGGATAGCTGCGACCGCGGCCGCCTTTAGATGTTTGCCCTACTTTTCTTGCGGCTTACGACTATTAGAATAGCCGCTTGTGATCAGCTGATCTTAGCGGCTGTATTGATCGCATTTCAACTAAAATGCATATTTCAGCACTCTATGACATTCATTCAATACTAGTAACAAATCAATAATGTTACTTGTGGACAGTAACTGGCAGTGTTAAAATCTGGGAATGTCAGCATCAATTTGGCTTTTATCTCTCCAATGTAAAGCATGTGTTTTAATTATTTTTGGCAACATTCCAGAGCTTTCTCAAATTTTCACTTCTATTGGTAAAGTTTTGTCATTTTAGTACCATATTTGTACTAAATATTGGCCATCATAATATATTGATGAAAATACATTTAAAAAGTCATGTAACAATTTTTACTTTGTTTAATAGCTCTCTTGATATTGTAATAAATTCAACAGCTGTGGTTGTAGTTCATATTTTAATTACTTTTGTAAGTAGACAATAACTTGCATTGTTACATAACAGGATCAGTAAAATAAACCATTAATCATTGTTAAGCATAAAATTTTCATAGATAGAATACTAATCATACATTATAAATGTGAAAGTTTAGATGGATGGATTGATGTTTGTTAGTTTGTAGCCTAAATGGCTGAATGGATTTGGATGAAATTTGGTATAGATGTAGAGGATAGTCTGGAAGAACACATAAGCTACTCACTATTGTTTTTTTTTAATTCCATGTGTATGGAGTTGCTGGTGAAAGCTAGTATTTAATAAACAATTAGTGAGATTTGTTTGTTTCATGAGTTTAAAACCCAATGGTAGAAAATTGTAATTATAATGTTAAAAAAGTGGTAATGTTCAATTACATTAAAAATTAGCAACTAGTAGCAATTTAACTCTTTCAATCATAAGTTTTACAAATTATTATATGAAAGAGGGTAAATACAAAACCATTTAAAAAAGATGAAATGTTTTGTTACAAAGAACTTTTTATGGAATCCATGATAAAGGAAACTTTATTAAATGCTGATTGAAAACTTACAATTGTTTTTCATTTCTATTGAAAAATATGTAAACAAAGAGACTTGAAATTGTGTACTCAGTAGGCAATGAGTTTCTTTTTCCAGTTTGTTTAATATTTAAAAAAATACAAATCAAGCTAAACTCAGAATGTTCTCATATTTTTAGGTGTAAATTTAGCACTCACCTGCGACTTGGTAAATGCAGGATTTAAAAAAAAAATTAAGTAGTCTATAATATTCTTGCAACCATTGGCTATCTTTCCATCAATAGTCCAGCTAACCTGGATTGCCTACAAGGAGTGTAGTCTTGTGTGCAGGTGGATATAATTTCAAAATTGTATTTTTGTTGTTAGCAATACAATATGTTAGTGACATATTTTTTCAACATTACATCCAGACAGTCTAATTTCATATTTATAAATGGTTTTTGTATGGAAGTTTTGACTTTGTACAAGATTTATTCCCAAAGTACCTTTATCATCTTGATGGAATAATAATGTAGATAATCAGTACATAGATAGATCAGTATGTAGATATGCATAGTGAGGAGGTTTCTGTCTCTGCAGCCCTGACCACTGGTTGCTTGTGTCATGGGATGCCGCAGCGGGTGGTGTTCTATTTTTTTATATAAAAATCATGTAAAATATATTATATGTAAAAATAAGTAATTAAAGATATATGGTAGATAATCTTAACATACCCCGATCTTGATATGAATGAATCATTTAAAATGATTCTATTTGACAACATAGAATGAAAGTTATAAGACCGATAACCAAAAATGCTTAAGAGACTAAAGTGAAAGTCTTAAGCTATGCATATAATTGCAGAAACCACATTTTTGAAATAGCTATTGAAGACTTCAAATATACTGACAGATTATAATATTTAACACTTGAATCTATTGAAATATAAAAGAAATATTTTTCATCATTAACACTCAAGCTACTAACCCAAGGTGTTAAGCAGAGTTACACCGCAATGCTGACCCAGTAGTGCTATAGCATACTTTTCTTTTTGTATTATAAGGGAGTAATTTCTTATTAGTAGGATTTAAATTCGGATGAAAGGAGATTACATGTGGCGGAAATGTGAATGTTAAGAGGTGTGGGGTAACACAATTGGATAAGATACGAAATGAGTATATTAGAGGAAGTTTGAGAGTAGCCCCAGTGGTTGAGAAAATAAGGAATAAAAGGTTAGAGTGGTATGGGCATGTTATGAGAAGGGATGAATCGCATGTAACAAGACGGGTGTTAGTTATGAATATGGAGGGGTACACCGGTAGAGGTAGAGCTAGAAAGAGATGGATGGACTGCGTGAAAGGTGACATGATCAAGAAGGTAGTGATGACTGAGATGACGGATGATGAGAGTTATTTGGAGGACGAAAACCAGGTGCGCCGACCCTACTGGAGGAGGATAAGGCAGGGGAGATGATTACTAGGATTCAATTGCGAAGACTAAAATTCAAAATGTTTTTAGTTTGTGTAGGTTTGTAAAGAGATCAATATTTTGCAATGAAAACTCAATTGTGATGTCTCATGTTAAATTTTGAATCTCCTTATCTAAACTAAGTATACAAATATACTGTCAGTAGCTATGTTGTAATCCTTATCAGTAGGTTTAATGATAGCGTAAGTTGTGCATTGAAAATAAAAAATTTAACTTTACAAGCATTTATTATATGGTAGAACCTTGATAACTCAAAGTTCATAATATCAAGTCATAGTTAAAATTGATCATTGGTCATTAAAGAGCTTCGTTTATATTAGTTATTTCACATATTGTATTGAATAATAGTAAAACCCTACATATGCCTACTTCAGTTTTAACTGAACAGTTGAGTTAAAATTGTTTGTAGGCACTACTTTAACAGTACAATGCAACTGACAGTTAATTTTGTCAATACTCATACAGTTTCGTCTAAACATCGCCTAGAAAAAGTGACTGGAATAGTGCTACTATGACTTCAAAAGTTATTGTCAGTTCCATACATTTTTAACTTTTCGATTATGAATATTGATTACTAGCTTTCGCCCGCGACACCGTCTTCGTGGAATAAAAAAACAAAAGTGAGTAGCCTGTGTTTTTTCAGATTATCCTCTATGTCTATGCCCAATTTGATCAAAATCCGTTCAACCGTTTAGGCTACAGACTCTAACAAACATCTATTAAAACTTTTGCATTTATAATATTAGTAAGATTGAATGTTACTTTGTCTAAGGGGGTTGTTACTTGTTTAGTTAAAGAAGTTCAGTAGAATAACAAATGATGAATTTGTTATGTTGTAATTGTTTTTTGCAGGATTTTTAAATAATATGTTTAGTCTGTGTAAAATATGGACTTTAGTCCTTGTTAAGTAAATATTATACTTGCTAATTATTGAATAAATATTGGCTGTAAATATTGCTTAAAAACAGTTGCTTGGTGATAAGTATGGAATAAAGAGAATAATTTGTTTTCGCAGCATGTTTGTGGTTTGTTTATTTTCTTTTATTACCAAATGTTACAACTGTAATTTAATCATATAAATATTATAAATGCGAAAGTTACGATGGATGGATGGATGTTTGTTAGCGTTTGTAGCCTAAACGGCTGAATAGATCTCCATATAATTTGTTACAGGTTTAGAGCATAGCCTGAATGAACACATAGGCTACTTTTTATCTCGGAAATAGTATGGTTCCCGTGGGATTCATTAATTTAGTTATTTAATGTTTACTCAATCGTTCTGCAATGGTTCAACATATTTTATTGAAATTTGGCACAGATATAAAACAAAGTCTGGAGTACACATGGGATAAGGTTTATCCCCAAGAAACGTCAGGATCCTCAGGGATACGTAGCTTTTTGTTATTTATATAGTTCATATGTTTTCTAATACCACTTGGACGAAGTCGCGGAAAGTTCTAGTTATGAATATAAATTCTAATAATTTCATTTTATATTATGGTATTGATTGAATAAAATCAGGCATTCCTTTCTTTGAAAGCTAGACTTGCAACATGCAAGAGTATAAATTTAGAAATTAAAGAATTTAGACCAAAATTTGAATTTTAGATTATCTTGTTGGATATATTTCAATAGACTCACCAAATATATTCTTATTGCTTACTCTATGGTGTGGATGGAGATTGATTGTTTTCTATTAAGGTATCCGGTTTGAAAAAAAATGCATAAGTAAAAAAGTTTTGTAAAGATCTTAATAAAACAATAGGAAACCAAACAATGTGAAAATGTTGCTTGAATTTGTTCAAACATAATGAATTAGTTATTAAAGTAATCTAATAAAATCTAAAAATTGATCTTTTGATGATTATGTTTTAATCAAATTTAACCCTAACACACACACACCCACAGTCTTTAAATACACACACACATACACACACACATACAAAATGCAACAAAGAAACACACGAACAAAATATAAAAATTCTTAGAATATAAGTAAAATTATTAGATATAAAAATGTAGTGTATGCTATGGAAGAACGGGACATTCTGTCACAAGTAATTATTTTACTTACAAGAATGTCCCAGCAACGGATACCTAATTGTAAAAATTTATGTTTTTAAGTAATAAACAATTTATTATTTAACAAAAAAAAAAAACTTCAGAAACTGAATTAAATTTTTTTAACATATTTAGTGGTTAAGGATGAAACATATGATGGAATTAAATTAAATTGAGTCAACTAAAATACAAAAATGTGTAATGAATATTGTTTTTTTTTTATTATGAAGAGTTTTCCTTTAAAATTTATTAATATAATACCCAATTTTAATTTGATAAACAAATTTTTTTCTTTATTTACTCCAATGTTTTACTCGGGTTTTATTGAAGAAAAAAAAAATCCGCTGGGCGCCTATTTTACCACATCCGAGTAGATTTAGAAAAATCACATCAAGATGTGATAAGTAACATTTGCTAAGTTGCGTTTTACTTTAACTTACATAATTAATCTATTGATTTTTGCTATGCGAATTATAATCACATTTTAAAACTTTATTCTAGAAGAGCATTATTCCAAAAAAATATGAAATTGTTGACTTGGTTGTAGGTATTCTCCGAATTTATTATCCTTAACTTTATTTCAGTGTAGGTAAATGACGCTTATGCGTTTAAAAATTTTTTATAGTACAAGGTAAATGAAGAACTGGCCACTAAAATTCGCCAAAATAGCGAAGCGACTCTGGCCGTACACATCCGCATTCACAGATTACTATTGATTAAAAGGAGGGACGCAAGAAAGAGGATGTTTGTGCCACATATATGTCCTATACCCTGCCAAAACTAATTCCCCTTCCTATCCTTGCACGATAAGGGTGGAAGAGGAATTAGACCTCTGAATATCTAAGGCAATGTTTCGTCACATTTAATTTGTTTTATTCAAAAGAACTAAAAATAACTTATTGTCATGTCTCCTCGGGTTCGTAGGGTTTTTTTTTTTTAATAATATAAAGATGTAAGGTAACTATGTCGATTGTAACTTATGCCGATACTTACGGTCAGCGTAGTTTTGCTAAATGCGATGTTGATGGTTTTGTTTGTGAACAGGTCGCCTCGGGGCCGCGTGGTGGCGGAAGGCGTGTATAGCAACGCGCACTTTATGCACGCAGCCACCTCCCACGTGGGGGACATCGTGCAGGTGCTCACCCAGTCGGGCAGCCTCTGGGAGGGCGTTTTTAAAACGTTCAGCGCCCAGTTTGAGGTCAGTTGCACTATTTTATTGCGTAATATTAAAGATATCTGGTTTTATATGGAATCGATTTTAGTAAGACAACAGAAGAACGGAAAAGGAGGAAGGAAATGCTTATTTTTACATGTTTTTTATGTATTTTAGTGTTATGTCAAGCTAAGTGCGGCAAGCACCGGTGATCCGTGTTTAATACTCAGAAAACATGGTCTTTTATATTTCTTTACTAAGAAATACGCATTATTTTCCTATATAGCTATAATATTGTTTTTATTTTCAATTAATCTTTAAGATGTAAGGAACAATTTACTTCCCAGTGTCAATGTAAAGTTGTTTATGTCCGTATATACTGGAATAACCTGTTTATATTCGGGGAATACCCGGTTTGTTTTTAATAACATTTAAGAGTAATGTCTGCAGTATCAAAAGAATGTATAACGATAGGTATAGTGTGTTTCAAAAACTATCAGTTTTATGTGTTATTAACTTTCGCCCGCGACTCCGTCCGAAAGGAATAAAAAACTAAAGGAAATAGCATATGTGTTCTTTCAGACTATCTCCTAAATGGATATCAAATTTTATCGAGATCCGTTCAGCAGTTTAAGCAACAAACTTTCATAAACATTCATCCATCTAAATTTTCGCATTTATGATTCATCATCACCAGCTCACTATATGTCCCCACCGAGGGGCTCGTAACCTACCTTAATGAGAGGTGACTAGGCCATAGTCAACCATGCTGCACTGCGGGTTGGTTGACTTCACACATATCTTTGAATTTCTTCGCCGATATGTGCAGGCATCACGATGTTTTCCTTCACCGTAAGAACGTAGGGTAAATTATGTATATATGAAAATTCGAAAAATCGAAAATCACATTGGTACAGCGGGATCGAACCCAAGATCTGTCAGTAGATTACAAGATTACAAGTCAAGTGTTCAAACCACTGAGCCATCGACGCTTTTATGATATTAGTAAGAATAAAATGTAAAAGATCTATTTGGACTTCTACTCTGGGTATTTCTAACTTGTTGGATTCAGGCTATGAATCTGAGACCAAGTTTTAATTACACCCTAAACTTGAGTATGGAACGGCGTCCTTCAAGTTGCAGTGCAATGTTGCAATTAAACACTATCAATTTAAATTATAATCAGTTATATACAAAAGAAAACGTTAGGAATCCATCGACTTATGCCTGCAGATACCTTGAATCATAATTTCGATTTATAATCTGTCTTAAGTACAACTCAAGAGTCGTTTAATCATTACTTAAGTATTTTAGTGTAGTTTTCTGGTACTAAATTTACACCAAAAAAGTGGCAAGTACAGTATTTATTTCTATGACGTAATTGTTAATTGGACTATAAAAAATATACCTAAATATTGACTCAGACAGTTCCATTCTAAGTTAAAAGATCGCTAACCCTGACGTGTGATTCTAAAGCCGTCTGTAACACCCTTTGCTATACTCAAGTTTTTGCAGACAGAATATTATTCTCGGTGTCGCCGAACTGACGACCTTAGGTTTGGCGCGGTCGCTGAACCATCGCAGACGTCAATCACACGAACAAGGGTTTCGCAATTCTAAAAAACATCTAAGAAATCGATTTAGATTAGACTAGATTTCGCCTGTAATCTAGGTCTAAATGGTTACCACTAAAATGGTATAATTCGAAGTTAATTCTTTTTTATTTAAATTTATCGAATATTTGTAGGGGGTTGGGGCTGCCCATGTCAGCTTCAGTTTATTATGAAATCGTCATAGTGCATACCCGACCAGATCTAGACGAGTTTATAAAGACGTTTAACATATCAATAGACGGGACAACGCGAATAAAACTGTAATCCAGACTTGTTAACTGTTAATCTAATTTGACACGCCTATTGTCCAGTCTGATTTATTTAAATCTTTGATAACCTATTGTAGGCTAGATCAGATACAGTTTATAAAGGACAGATAGTATGTGTAAATTAGGTACGGATATAGGACAGGGACGTAATAGACGATGGCCGGCCGCGGCCGGGGCTGGTGAAGTGCATCGTCCCCCGCCGCGCCGCCGCGCCCCGCCGGCCCCGGGCGCGCTGCAAACTGGGTCGGATCGATACACGCACCGGCTGCGCTCCTTTTCACCTCCCCCCTACACCTCCCCGCCCCCTGACCCCCGTCCCGCGCAGCCCCCACCAGGGACCTGCGAATCAATCCCTGTTACAGTGCCTGCAGAATTCTGTAAAGCTCCAGTTGAACACTAGGCACCATTTTGTGCTAAATGTGCTTTGTGCTTGATATCAGAGACGTTTAAAAGTGTTATGTGCACAATGGATGGACAAATAATGTTGTTTCAACAACCCGTTTTCTTCATAAGCAGATCTGTAATAAAAGGTTATAGATATGGAATGGATGCAGAGGAATATGAAAAGGTGAGCACATAACACCCCGTATGTTGAATTGGCACGTGAGTAACAAGGTCGCTCTTTTGCCCGACGTGACAATTCAAGCGTTATTCAACCTTCTTAAGTTTAAGGTTATGTCCTTGGTTAGATTTACTCATTTGTTTGGTAGCTAGTTAAAGCGTTACTGTCCTATTATAATTGTAAACGGTTATGTATGTAAAACAAGGGGAGTGAGAATTTGTACTCTACGGCTTATAGGTCAGGGGCGTTAGGGTTTCTTTTTTTTATTAAGGGAAATAGGTCTACAAATTAAAGATTAAATGTAAGTTTTTATGTCATTTTAAGGCGTGATTACGGGTCAAAATCTCTTTATTCGGGTTAAAATTTACGTTCATAATTTTAGGCATTGTCTTTGTGTACTTTTAATATTATAAAACCACTATTTTATTATATATTTAATGCACGTTTACGTAAGCGCTGAAAATTGTACAGGTTTTTTTAATTTATTAGAGAATTTATATCTTTATAGTGGTTTAATTCAGTTTTGTAAAACTCGTCTTCAACAAAAGCTTCTGTTGAAGTAAAGATTTTAAACTCGACGTACGGTGATTGCATCCCTCGTAACCGTGTCCTTTATAATACAATTTTGTTTCATAATATAGAAATTTCTAGACTAGAATTTTCGTCAATATTGCTATATTAAATTACACGGTACTTTATGCTATGCTTTGACAACTAAAATTAATATTATGTTGAAATACTTTATACAATAGCTTTTAGTACTGAATCTTCACTAAGGGACGATTACTGACACTTTAACTGCAAGAGCAGATAGTACTTGCCCAATTGTCATCATCCGCACTAGCTTTTAATATGAATAATATTATACAACATATGTTTGGAATTATGCGATCGCGATCTCCTGTGAAAGTATAAATAAGTATCTAGACTTTAGCAGATCTGTGTATAAAACTTTAAAAATTCACGGTAAAACGGTAAGACTGAAGTCTTAATCCAAAAGCATTTAACAATTATATTACCTTGACTTGTAATTTCTTACTTGAGCTACGGCATATTTATTGTAACAATGGCCTTTACAAAATCTGCTAAAACAACAGAACTAGACCCTCTACACTCTTGAACATGTTAAATAATTTATGTACAAACGAAAATAAGAGAACAAAGATTATGACAGCGGTAGATACGTGTTCTATTTTTAAAAATGTAGATGTTAGTAACTTCCGGTATAGGTTCCGAGCCCCTCAGGGGAATGTATAGTGAGCTGATGAAATGTGGCCTAAAATAATGCTCACGATATTAAGTATACATCATATTTTATACTTATCTAACTTCTAACTAATATTATAAATGCGAAAGTTTAGATGGATAGATGGATGTTTGCTAGAGTTTGTAGCCTAAACGTCTGAACGGATTTCGATGAAATTTGGCATAGACGTATATGATAGTCTGGAACACATAGGCTACTCAGTTGTTTTTTAATTCTAAACAAACGGAGTTACGGGCGTAAGCTAGTTTTGAATATTTTCCGGGTCAATTGTTTTACAAATAAAACGTTTTAAAAATCATGAATGGACTTATCTCGGATTGTTTCGGAAACGAAAGTGCCAGCGACCTGGTGATCTTCAACCTTTGTCTGATAAACTTCTAGTTCTTCCTACCGATAGTTGGCGCTAGTTATCGAAGTGGAAGAAAAGGTTTTTCCAGGTTTAAGCGATTTTAATGTAACGAATAATTTGTGCAAATAAAATCAGTAAGCGAAATACGCCAAATAAACGCCCAAAAAAAATCATCTGTGGCTCTATTCAGCATACGTTTTTTACCATAAGTTTTATTCATGTTGTTTTTGTTTTTATATAAGCAACAATATGCTTACATTCTTGCGTTTAGTTACTCAACACCTAAACAATATCTGAGCATGCAAAACATCTCGTTTTATTTGTTATTCAATCTGTAATCGTCTTTATTTCAACGACAATAGAGCTTAAATTGCACTGTGTCGCTGTTACACTTCCTAGAAAGGTGATATGTAGATGGTAGTGTCGATGTCCGACCCTGGTGTATTTAAATAATTTACCGTCGCAGAAGAATAACACGTCCGAATGTGTACAATTTAATTTATGACTACCCTCAAAAATAACAACTCAACTAGACTTGATAAGATCAATGCGTCTTAAAGTTGCATCTATCTGCCTACTCTGTTACGGTCATTATGTTATGACCAGCTATCGTCCGCGTGGAATAAAAAAAAAATGAGTAGCCTATGGTCTTCCAAACTATCCTCTACGTTTATACCAAAAATCGAAATCCGTTCAGTAGTTTAGGCTACAAACTTTAACACACTTCCATCCATCTAAACTTTCGCATTTATAATATTGCACTGATTGATTGTGTTTATGAATGTATTGAGCGTATTGTCAGTTACGTGATATGGGCGTGGCGGTTGCAGTGCTGGTCGATACTGTGACGTAGTCCGCGTACTGCATGTAATCTTTGTTGTCTGTACTACTCTCTCCCTGCTATTAATGACGCATTCGTTCTACATTTAGGGAGGCACTAAGTGTAGATTTGCAGTTACTAGCGGTTCACTTTTAAAACGAATTCTTTTTTAACCCTAACGATTTACACTTGGCTTACTTATGAAGTGGTGATCATTACATTCATTTTGAGTGTTTATCGATTCATTCGTCACTTCACCTTTAAACTTCAAACTTAAAAGCAACCTATATGAAAAAAACTTATCCGCAGCCTAAACAATGGCCCCCTGTGTTTACGAAATATGAAATATCGTACACAATTTTGATAAATTGCCATAAGGAGTACTACAATGCTCTCGCAACTTGAAGTAATGTATACTTTAACGATAAGGTGTTAGGGTCTGAAATTCTTTGAGTGAATAGTAGGGAACCTTTGATCGTTAGTATACCAGGCGAGTGGTCTTGCCTTCGCTCTGATCACTAACTTGCCCAAAAGGACGAAGAACAGGAAGGAGGAGCGCGCGAAGAAATCAAGGGAAATACAATCAAATTAAAAACTTAAAATGAATATAGATAAAATTTATGTACAAAGGGAAAATTATAAACAAAAAAGCCTAGCAAACATTATGAGAATTTATTGAAGACTGACAAATTATTTACAAAAAGGATAAATTAAAAAATTATAAATTCTAATTTTAAAAAAATATAAAAAGTAAAGATATAACAAAAAGGCTAATTGCATCGCCAACAATATCGTATTTTTTGCCACCCCTTGTTTAGGTTATAAACTGTTATAATTTAACTGGTAATAATGCGTAAAAAAGTATACCTAATTTATCTATTATGTTATCATTTCCTTCCTGTCATTATCCATCATTTATAACTGACAAAGAACTGTTTGTATACTTTGTTATCAATGTAAATAAATTAGAACGTTAAAATACTCTGAAACGCGACAATTGGGATACAGTAAAGTCTTCGGCAAAATCTAAGATTCCCGTGAGATAGAAATAATAACTCTTCACCTAATATTTGTGATACTAAGGCCTTGTTTTCTTATAACAGTGACGTCATTTTTAAGCTATCTAAGTCTCTATCCAGTGGTGGGACAGGCCCTAAATAGTTTTATGAATTTAACTCTGTTGTTAAAGCAATAGCTAGATATTAAATATGTCATCCTGTTGGTTATATACGTGGATATTTTGTACATAATGATGATAGTGTATAGCGCAGTCTGTTGACCTCGACATCCCTAATCCGATATGATGCTCGCACGTAAGGCCCGGACAAGGTTGCCATGTAATGTCAAGGAGCGGAAGATTCAAATACCTTAAATAACGACGTAGTTTAAAGTCATACTTCTTACTAGATTCTACTTAGATGGATGGATGTTTGTTAGAGTTTGTAGCCTTAACAGCAGAACGGATGTCGATGAAATTTGGTATAGATGTAGGGCATAGTCTGGAAGAACACATAGGCTACTCAATTTTAAAAGATACGCTTTAAAATTTTAATGTGTAGTGAAAATGTTGGTTAATATTTTACTTTGTTGGCAGGTGGTGCTAGAAGTAGCTCACCGCGTGGATCAAGAAGGCGTGGTCGCTGTGGACTCTGTGGTGGAGAAGTTGATCTTCAAGCCTCAAGACGTGGTGTCTATTCGCGCGAAGGACTCTGACTTGGAGTACGCCACGCATGATGTGTTCCAGACTGATACGGCCATTAGCAAGTTTAATGGTCAGTATTGTGACGAAATCTGTTATGGCAGGAAACTAATTTGTATATCTTAAATATTAATAACTAGCTGTTCCCGTGCGGCTTCATCCGCTTAATATAATAATCTTATTTTGTTGTTAACAGTTTGTAAAACTTTAAATTGCAAATGTCAAAATTCAAATGCATAAATGACAACGAAGGCTTTTGCCATTGGTTAACAATTACCATTGCCATGCCTATGTTGCTTCTTTGCTGCTATTGGTGGTTTTGTCTCTTTCTCGCATAAATTATATATCCTAAAGCATGTCGTAAGTGTAGGTCTTTTTATTAAAGAAATAATTCTTTAAAAATATGCTGTGATTTCACATCCTAAATAATTAACTAGTATGTTTTTATGCTTTATTATTTTATTATTTTTTAACAATTAATGTAATTGTAAGCGATATTAATTTACACACTGAACAAGCGATCCCGCCAGGAATACGCGCGAATATTCCAATCCTTCTCATGACATTGACAGCTGTCAGCTAGGGACGTGACGTTTATGCCGACAATCTAGTGTTGCTTCAATTCTAGAGCACGGTACTAATGTTCTTTATATTTGTCGTGTTGTACAGGCAACGGCCGTACAGCAGAAGAACGTCACTTAGAGCCGTGGGACGGTTGTGACGGCGAGGGTGGGGACGCGCCATCTTTGAATGGTGACGCGCGCCTCGACGAGCTCGAGTTGGACCACCGCGCTAACGGCTGGGACGCTAACGATATGTTCCGTAAAAACGAGGAGGTGTACGGCGTTCATAGTACCTACGACCACTCCCTAGCAGGGTATACGCTGCCGCTGCAGAGGAAGGACACCCAGGATTACAGGTATATAAAAATTTATCGATGACAACCCTATTTTGAGTACTGCACCCAATACGTTATTTATTATATAGTATATATACTATGAGTAAGGAATTGATATAGGTAATAAAAAATGTCTGGTCTAAATTAAAGGTACTCAATAATTTTTAGAAGAATTTCTCGTTGTCGGTTTGTCTGTGTGTTTGTGCGAGCTAATCTCGGAAACGGATTAATCAATTTCTAAATAGTTTTCACTAATGTATTGTAGTATATCTTACTTAACATTTAGTAATTGTTTCAACTTAATGTAAAAAAAAAATTGGAAAAACTCTATTTCTAATAATTAGCAGCGAACGTTGCAGGAAAACTTCGTACGCGTTACTACTTACATAAAGCTTTTTAAATCTGAATTTCAGTCAGCAACATCATATTTGCGAAATTTATCGTTATTTAAAGACATCTTTGTGTTCAGAGACGCCGAGGCTAAGGCGGAAGAGATAGCAGCCGAGATCGAAAGTGCGCCCTCGTACAAGGCCCGTATTGAACTGGAGAATGGAGATGAGGAGGAGCGCTTTGCGGCAGTCGTGCGGCCGCAGGACGGCGCGCCCGGCAAATATGTTATACCAAACAAACGAAAACATTTGCAGGTAACGTACTAAACCAGTTACATGTACATCAGTAATACAGACGATAAATAACGCCCACAGTTAAGATTTCTTATACTAAAAGACAATTTTAAAGGTTTTTATGTCTGCAAACATATGACTGCAAAAATAGGAACGTGTTAGAGAAGTCATGACGTTACTAGCTGTCGTCCGCGAATTTGTTTGCTTAGAATTATAAAAAAAAATTAAAAGTAGCCCATGTGCTCTTCTAGAATATCCACTACATTTATGATAAATTTTATCTAAATCCGTTAGCAGTTTAGGCTACAAACTCTAACAAACATCATATTAGTATAATTTGAAAAGTCCTTAAAACATTTGTATTTGAAAATCTTATAAGAAAAATTGTTTTCTGTTCAGGGTGGTAAATTAGTGAAACCAGTGTCGGGCAACGGCGGCGGCTCGCCGGGCAGCGGCAAGCCGGGCAACTTCCCGCACCCCGCGCACCCGCAGCACCCCGCGCACGCCCCGCACGGGCCCCACGCGCCACACGCGCACCCCGCGCACGCCCAGCACGTCGCGCACGCCCCACATCCCGCACACGCCCCGCACGCCCCGCCCAAGGACAAGGAGCACCGCCCCCCGCGGCACCACCTCACGCCCCCCTCTGACAGACGGCTGGATGATTCACCGGTATGTATAACTAACTAATATTATTATGTCTGTGTTAAACCATTTGAATGGACGTGTTTGTTACTATATAAGTCCAAAACGCCATAATGGATGGACAAAGATAAAATTAGGCATAGATGTATGTAGAACATAGTCTGCGCGGACAGAGTCGCGTGCAAAAGCTAGTCTACAAAATGTCTTTATTTGGCTGTCGTCAAAAGTCGTCGTTTTTATCCAAGAGATCAATAAACTTATAAAATTTTAGCTTCCGCCCGCGACTCCGACCGCGTGGAATTAAAAAACAAAGATGAGTACCAAATTTCATCGATATCCGTTTAGCCGTTTAGGCTATAAACTCTAACAAACATGTAAACTTTCGCATTTATGATTTAAGAAAAGTAAAAGCAAGGATCTTTTACGAAGAAAATTGTAAGTAATACTATTTAATATTGTTTTACATTTTTTCCTGTGTTTATATGTAAAGTGTATTGTGTGAATGTCAGTCCGGTGCGAGCAATGGCGGGCTGAGCGCGGGCAACAAGAGCTACGCGGCGCAGGCGGGCGGCTACCACGCGCCGCCGCCCTTCCCGCACCACGCTCAGTGAGTTCCTATGACACTTTTTTTGTATCGGCGGGGGGGGGGATCTCACTAAAACCCCCCTCGGTGGCACTCTCAGGTGCGATTTTGAGGGTCCCCAGATTTCCAGTGAAACGTACCGTTATCCTCTGGACTGAGCTTTCCCTCTATCCTACATTGGGACGCTATGACACCTTTGAAATTAAAATTGATGTTTTTATGTAATAATATAGATTTATATGTCCAACAGACCACAATCCGGCAAAATGAATGGTGACCCCCGAGGACCTCCTATTACTAGACAAGGCTTCTCGCACCACCATCATGTAAGTTTCAGTCTTATTGTCTAACACATATGTTGTATTTTAGTTTGAAATGATTAAAAATTTTAACCTTTGTTCATTAACAGAATGCAATACCCTCGGAGCCACGCGCACGGACCCAAGCGCCGCCGGAGCCGAGAGAGCCCCGGGAATCACGGGATCCGAGGGACCCACGGGATCCCCGCGATCCACGAGATCCACGGGACCCCAGAGACCCACGAGATCCCAGAGACCCGAGGGACTCAAGGGAGATGCGCGAACCACGGGAACGACGTGCAGATGAAGTGCAGGTGAGTATATTAATAAATTATTAATTTAGACCCTCAGAGCTACTGACACCCGCCAAAATGGCGCGCTATTCCGATACGTAAGAATGACATTGATAGCTGTCAGATAGGGACCGGACGTCTATAACGATGTTCGAGTTTTGCCTGAATTTTTCTCTTAAGAAATTATTTTTTGGAGCGTGTATATTGTTAGGTTAATGTAATCAAATTGCGGACTCCGAGATCTGTTTATTCGCAACGTATCCGAGTGGTCTAAAGACAACAGTATTTTAAGGTTAGTGCTGCCCGCTTCAAATACTAACTGGATATAACTTAGAAATTGTTAAATGACCACTTCGTTAGTGCATATTAAAACGAAAAATCTAAAATAAGCGTCATTTTGAAAAATAGTAAATACTAATGCAGTAATTTTAACTAACAATTACGGCTTTTTGATGCCGAATATTATAATAGTGAAATGTGTGTCTTTAATAATAAGGCCACTCCAGTTTTCATTAAAATTCTCACATATGTCATATTGCAAGCGCTTAGAGTGCAGTGTTTAAAATTCGTTTCAGAAATTGTGTTATCTCCATGTAGTTCATTTTATAAAAAAAAAAAGGAAATAAATTGGCGGGAACTCCGATGTGCTCTTTGAGTTTATAGGAATCTATTATATAAAGTCTCCCTTAGTAACAAAAATGTCAAAGGTTGTATTTAGTACATGTTCATCGTCATATTATCACCAGGAGCTCCGCAAGTTCGGTCAGGAGTTCAAGCTGGTATCCTCCGGTGCGCCGCCGCACCAGGTGCAGCACCAGCACCCGCAGCATCCCCAGCACCCGCAGCACCCCCAGCACGTGCACCAGCCACACCCGCAGCACCAGCCACACCAGCCGCACCAGCCGACTGTCAACCCACAGCCACCTGTAAGTACAATCAAGGAATCTGGCGATGAACTTAAACCTAGTCGTTGGAATATTTACACATAGATGACGTAAAAAAATAATCAATAGAACGCAGCTTTTTTCATTTGTCTGTACTAAAAGGGTTGGGACAATGGTTCATGAGTATTTTTGTTATATTATTAAATTGTTTTCAAAAATTACTGCAGCCTAATTGGTTATTGGAGGTGGGGTTTGTCTCGTCGCAATGTACAAAGTAATTTTTGTCAAAGTGAAATATAACGCCCGGCAAACTTCTTGAACAAAAAGCGGCGTAGTGGGGGAAGTTTCGCGCACGTACACTTTTAGACAAAATAATTGACCTATTTTGAGTATTTGTATTAATTAGGAATGAAAAAATTCAATTTTAAATTTTAAGAACATGACACATGCATAAACAGCTTGTGCAATATCTATAGATGATTCTTGTTTCATGAAACAACACGAAAAAGTAACATTTTTCTAAAAAGACAAGCCAGGAAAATAGTATATGATGTATATAATCATATACTATTTTCCTGGCTTGTCTTTTTAGAAAAATGTTACTTTTTCGTGGCATATTCAACACAAAAAGTCAAAACAATAACAATCAAATAAAACTTAACAATAATAAACAAATGAGACTCAAGAATAACAACAATAGAAAAAATTATAAACAATTATTACCGAAAATAAGTAACAGCGAAATTGGGCCAATAAAATTGGAGATAAGTAAATTCGGGAGTAATCGGAACATGGGGAAAGAAGCGGGACGCAAAGGTCGACTGATTAACCAATAGCAAGAGAGCGCGCGCGCAGTCCCCCTTGCCCCGCCAAAAAGACCCAAAAATCGACTTCTGCGCAACTAAATGTATTGTTCAAGATGTTTGCCGGGCGTTATACCAGAGATTGCATTGACTGTACAACCTTAGGATGATAATAATGGAAACATTGTTTTGAGTCACCATTTCCGGGAACACAATGCCTGGCTTGTCAGATTCCTAAGTATACAACTATCTTGAGTCTCATAGCGATTAAAATAACCCTTTATGGAGAAGATCTTAAAATAACAAATCTTATTTAGACAAACTATATCTATACTATTATAATATAAAATATATAAATAATTACTTCGTAGATGTGGTCTTTATGGTTTATATCTGCTTGTTTCTTGAGTATTACAATAGAAAGTATATTTGTAAATTTATACATCAGCAGCTACCGCCGCCCGCGCCGAGCCCGCCCGAGGTGTCAGCGAACGCGGGCGCGCCCTCAGACCCGCTGCCGAAGCGCGAGCGCCCGCCCAAGCAGCACACCCCGCCCGCCACGCACAAGGTACTGTCGGAGAACTTGACGGTGCTGCACTTACAAACTTCACGCGTTTTGAGTGGTTTTTTTACCTACTTATATAAATAAATAAGATGTTTTTAAATGTGTGTAAGGATTAGGCTGGCTTTTTGTCTTTTATCATGCGTAACATATCGGAATCCTTATTCCGTTTCTGTTAGTGGAAGGAAGATATGTAATTAATAAGACATATGTTCCATAAGTTTGGTTAAAATCACTAGGTATAAGGCAATCTTTTTTTATTTAAAACTAAATGTTGCTCGCGAATTCGACCGTTCTATATTAGTCAGTTTTGTAGTAAAAGATATTTGGAAATTGGTCTAGTTGTTTTTGAGTTATTTAAATACATACAAAGATAATAAAATACAAATCTTTCTTTTTATATCAGTGTAGATAAATAATTAAAATTTGTAATATTTCAACAGCCTCCACCAGTACCGAAGCCGGAGGAACCAGTATCCGAGGATCAGTCGCCGTCTTCATCATCACCGCCATCATCAGCGTCTCCCGGCGTGGACCGCGCCATCGCCACCCTCAAGAAGTCCACCCTCAACCCCAACGCCAAGGAGTTCAACCCCAGCGCCAAGCCCTTCACCCCGCGCAGCCCCAGCACACCCAACCCCAGCCGGTAATTGCTTAATTTATCACTATGGGACACACTTAGCATAGACTTAGCTAGAGTCGAAAATTGTAGAATAAAAAATGAAACTAGATTTTACACGAAAACCAAGTAACTAGACTGTGTTCTTCACGTCGTTTTAAGATACATAAAAACAAACATCCATTTAAATTTAAATTAAAACATTTAAAATGATTTAGGGCCTGTCCCACCAAATTGTAAATTGTCGGATAACATCATCATCATCATCCACTTGCCCTTATCCCTTATGGAGGGTCTGCACAGTATGTGCTGCTCCTACATACATCTCTAGCAGCCGTCATATCTGAATCCACTCCTTTCTTAAGCATATCCTCTTTCACACAATCCATACATACTTTCTTCGGTCTTCTTCTTCCTTTGTAGCCATCCACATTCATTCTTAACACTTGTTTTTAAAGGTTGTTAAATGTTATTATCTGTCTGTCAGTCCGCACACGCCGGGCACGCCCGTGGGCATGGGCGTGGGCGTGGGCATGGGGCTGGGCGGCGTGGGCGTCATGGGCGCTGGCGTCAGCTACGTGCCCGCCCCGCATCCCCCTCCACACATGGTACGTACTTTCATATTACCTCTTGAAATTAAAAAAAACTACAAATATTTAAATCCTTTTAATGGTATTTTTTTTTAAATCAGTCCAGTAGTTTTTGATTTATTGCAATACATATTAAAATGTAAATCTTTCTTCTTTATAATGTTAGTATATAGAGAGATAGTATTCATTATTTATACTAATTCAACAGTCAAATACTAGAATATTTTAATACGTAATAGCGTTATAAATTATAAGGTAATTAAACTATTGAATTTTATTAAATTTTTGAGATCTGATAGATTGTATGTGACTTATAATGCTAAATATTTGAGATCAGCTTCAGAATTCGGTTGTTAGAGTCTGTTTTCAACTCTTTTTTTAAATAATTAATTATCATTTGATCCAACTTTTAAATAAGATTATCGCAGTACTGATCTTTCGTACAATTCCGGCTCGAAGGACCATAATTTACAGAATTACATGTATTGAAAGCACTGGTTATAAAAAAATCTTAAAATAATTCCAAATCACTTAATAAATGTTAGAGAAGGTTGAGAAAGAATGGAAAACATTAATATTCCATATATATTATTTCATGTTAATACATAATTTATATATTTGTATCCAGTTCGCGCACCAAGTGGCGGCGGTGCCGGCGTACGCGATGGTGGCCGCGGCCGCCGCAGCCGCGCAGCAGCCGCCCGCCTACCTGCCGCACCCGCACCCCGTGAGTACCACCACACACACCACACACACCACACACACCACACACACCACACACAACAAAGAAACTGTGATAGAGTTGATATCACTTACTATTATTTACTACCTTTCTCCTGTTTTCTTCCAGACTACACTCTACATCTATGATAAATTTCAATAAAATCCGTGTAGGCGTTTACACTACAAACTCTATCCATCTAAACTAATATTAGTAAGATTTATGGTGTAGATGTAAATGGTATTATACTTTTACTATTATCACTTTTGTGGAGTTAAAAAAATATAGCCTATGTTACTCACAGATAAATTACCTTTCTAATGGTGAAAGAATTTTTAAAATCGGCCCAGTAGTTTTTGAGCAATACAAATCTATTTTCTAAAAAAACCTAATGGTTAGTTCTTTTAAATTAGACGATACGAATATTGTTTTTAACACTGATTTCAATTGAATCTGTGTTCATTTCAATATGATTTGAGATCTTTTGATCCATACAAAGTTTAAACATGATGGGGGATGGGGGTTGGGGGATGGTGACAGATGGAGATGGGTTGCGAGTGCCGGCAGTACGCGCCAGTCATACTGCTGCCGGACAAACGCGAACGAGACGCGGTGAGCGCATGCTCGCTATTTCCCATAACTAATACTAACTCCAGACAGACTCCGCGTTTCTTGCTCATTTAAACTCCCTAAGTGAAGGTTTCTAATCGAAATGATTTAACTATAAAGATTTAGGGGCTACCTATTACAGCTGTAGTCGGTCGTGAATCATTTTACAACCAATTATAAGAAATATTAGTAAATTAACAAAATGTACTAATATTTTAAAAAACATACATGTGGCAGAATTGGATGTTACAAGAAGAACGTTAGTTATGAGTGTGGTACACCGGTAGAGGTAGACGTAGAAAGAGATGGATGGATCGCGTCAAAGATGACATGATCGAGAATGGAGTGATGACAGATGACGTATGATAGTTGTGGAGGACAACAACCTGTTGTGCCGACCCTACGGGAGTAGGATAAGGAGGATGGTGATGATGATAACATGTGGCAGAATTGGACACTTTAGTATGAGAAATTCTACACTAAGGGAATATTAATGACGATTAAATTCCGGCAGTTGATTTATCAAGATTACACAAAAATGTTTGTGCTTTGAATAAATATATAACGGAACGTTTTTTTTTACTTTTAATATTAACAATGTTTTTTGAATTGAGAGTGAAGCCATACTAATATTGTGAAGTTTTCTCGCTAATCTTATAATTCAATGAGTGCACTAATTGATCTTTGACCTAATTATCGATTTTAATGAACATTTATTGGTAAGTGTGTTTATTACATAACTAGCTGTTCGCGTGCGGATTCATCCGCGTGAAATTATAAAAACTTTATTTTATTGCTTACTTTTTTCAAATTATCAATAGCAAATATCAGAAAAATAATATAAGATGACAAACGAGCAAGCGGCCACCTGAATCCACCGAAATGGAAAGCGACCGCTGCCCATAAACATCCGCAATTGCAGCGTTGCCTACCCTTCATTGACGGAGAAGGACACGCACAAATAGGACATTTCCCCTTCCTGTGCGTCTCCACCGTCAAAACCTCTTTTCCTTTCCATCCTATCCTCTTAAGAAAAGGATGGAAAGGGAAGAGGAATAAAATTAGGCCTTGATGTACAGTCGCTTTTGTAATGTATGAAAAAAATAGCTTGCTTGGTACATAGTAATTTTATTATTCCGTTTGCACAACTCACTGATACCTTATTGGTTAAAGGCAGAGTTTGTCTAGTTGAATGACACAAGGCAATTTTACTAAAAGTGAAACACTGCTGATTTCCACGACTGTACTTTTACTATTGTTATACTACATGTAAATATCTAGAGTATTATTAAAACTTAATAAAGATAATTAAAATAGAAACTGTGTATTGCATATTTCGATATTGTAATTCCTTTTATTCTCTTGCAGTAGAATCTTTTCTAGATAACCTCTTCTGGAGATAATTTTACAAATTTTTCCGACAACGACCATAATTTAGCCGCCAAATCCTTATTATTCGCTTTATCAGATGTCCAACTCTCCTTACAATCTTCGAAATACCGACCACTTATATCATCACATTCATCTGCAACTGCTAAATATATAGATGTCTGTGCTCCTTCTTCTGGACTCTTAAAGAATGTATACAGCACGAGGCTTCTCATCTTCTCCAAGAGTGTGGAACTTCTATACAATGAGGTGTTTACTTGCCCAGGGTTCAGACTGTTCACCACTACACCAGAACCTTCCAATCTTCTTGCTAGCTCGTTGCTAAATAGAATATTGCATAATTTACTGTTAGCATACGCCTGGAAGTAACCTTCTGTATTACTCCAGTTTTCTGGTACCTCTCCCAACTTGTGTAATGCCGACGACACGATAACGACACGACTCGGTGACGATTTCTTTAATATAGGTGTAAGCAAAACTGTTAATAGAAATGGAGCGAAATGATTTACTTGCATATCCCTCATAATCCCATCTTCAGTTTTATCCCTTTTCGTACAGATAGCACCAGCGTTGTTTATTAAAACGTCTAATTTCGATTCTGTGTTTATAAATTCTTTGACGAATTTTCTGACAGATGTCAAAGATGAAAGATCTAGTTGAATATGTCTAACGAATTTGTTCTTTGTTGTATTTATTATTTTTGCTACCGCGTTCTTGCCTCTGATGTCGTCTCGACACGCGATGATCACCTTTGCACCTCTTCTTGCTAAATCCAGTGCTGTCTCGTAACCCAATCCACCACTGGCGCCAGTCACTATGACCACTTTGCCCGTCATTATATTGTCAGAATAACATTTACCGGTTGTCAGTTTATTGAAAAGTTTTATAAAAAGCAGTGAAATTAATACCCATAGTAACCACATCTTAACAATTAAAATATTAATTCTAAACACTTATGTAATTAAAATAAAGATTTTAATATAATAATTAGTTTATTTTACGCGGTATATTGGCGACCTAATCGGAATTATATCAGAATACGACTGATTTAATTATCTAGTTGTAATAAAACTATTATATTTGTCTCGTGGTTTCGAATGAACAATATTTTTTAGGCTTCACATCCCAGTATAAAATTTTAATAAAAATATCGCAACATTTTTTGTAAATTCTAAAGTTTCGAGTAATAATAAAGTTTTGTTGATTTATATTGTGATTCATTCAAATATGGCAGATAACCTCAAAATGTATTATAATGTTCTTAACTACATTCCACTTTAAGACCTTGAAATTATTACTGCAATAAAGAAGGTAAAAATATTAACATACTAGCCGTTCCCGTGCGGCTTCATCCGCGTGAAATTATGAAAATTTTATTTTATTGTTAACATTTATCAAATTATAAATAGCAAATGTCAAAATGACATGACATGATGACAACCTTGCTTCCTTAATGTTGGCAGCAACTTATGGTCTCTTTCCCACATTAGGGTTTTTATCCAAAATATTTACCCCTTAAGTTTAATGGCGTTAAAATATATAGCCTAAAGCTTGACGCAAGTGTAGGGCATTTTATAAAAAAAAAAATATTCAAATATATGCTGTAATTGAAGTCATCTTAAACAACAAAGAAGAGTGTGTTTACGCTTTATTATAATAGTATAGATGTGTACTGTTTATATTTCCGGTCAGTCTAAATCGAAATATTCTCTAAGCAATTTTCGTTCAATTTCTAGTGATTTCTGTACAATGTTCGATGTTAAGTGGGAGGCGAATTTATTTGACTTTACAAGGTGTTATCAATTTATTCACATAATTAATATGTTTAACGTAATCGATCACCCGCTGTTATCACTTGCCTCGGCTGATACGCGGCGACCTTGTATAATATCTTGCTATTGAAATTAACTGGATTTGATTACTGGTTAAAAAGATTTTTACAACTTTTAAAGTAAATTGTCATTTTTAAATTATACCGATATGTTGATTCTGATGAAAGTAATTTGATACGTTATTTAAAAAAGGGAAAGTTCTTTAACTTTAAAATAAATAAAAATCGTCTAAAGATAATTAGACCTTTGGTTAAGATTATTCTATAAATTGTCATATTTGTATGTAAAATAACTTACATTGAGGTTTTTTTGTGTGAAATATAACAAATTTTGATGTGACCATTGTTTTAATATGACCTAAATTTGGTAAGTTTTCAAATGAAATAATGTATTGTATTATTCGACAGTTATACGGTGCCGCCATGGGGGGCGGGGCGGCGGTGGCGGGCGCGGCGGGGCAGCACGCCCCCTTGCCCGCACAACAGCAGAGAAATTTCAGAAAAGGTAACATTATATGTTAAGTCTTCTAAGGTATTTTGTAATTTAATACATTATTTACTACATTTACAGTGGTATATGCAAATAGACTACTCATAAATAATTATAGTTTTAAAATTAAAACTATAAATATTAAAGTACTAGCTGTTCCCTTGCGGCTTCATCCGCATGAAATTCTGAACATTTTATTTTATTGTTTACATTTGTCAAATTATCAATAGCAAATGTCAAAATGACATGACAAACCTTGGCAATCTTACTTCCTTGATGTTGGCAGCAACTTATGGTCTCTTTTCCACATTTAGTTTTTTATCCAAAGTATTTACCCCTAAGTTTAATGGCGTAATGTAGGGCTTTTTATTAAAAAAGGATTATTCAAAAATGCTGTAATTGCTGACATTTTAGGCAACAAAGTAGTGTGTTTACGCTTTTTTTTATAATAGTATAGATTGGTGGTTCAAGTACTTGATTCGAAGTCTGCCATGTATTATTGTTCTTCTTTATGTACATATACCCAAAGTTATGGCAAACGAATAAGTGAAGAAACTCAAAGATATATGTGAAGTGAATCCGCAGTAGACCCTCAATGGAGAGGTATAGTGAGGTGATAGGAAGGTAATACGTTGTGACCGTGGATTCAGGTGTGCAAGTGGCCGCGGCGACTGGGCAGCCGCTGCTGGCGCCGGCGCCCATGCAGCCCTTCGTGCCCTACCCCCACCCGCACCCCCACCCGGCGCACCCCGCGCACCCCGCTCACCAGCCTCAGCCGGCGCTGCAGTACCAACATATGGTCAGTATATTCAAACAAATAAATATACATATAAATATATAAGAGTGTATATGTATTGAAAAATCATATTTCGTATATGTGATAACGAAAAACATTTTATTGTTTGTCTGTCCGCAAGGTCGCGTACGTTCCGGGTTATCACCGGAACGGCTGGCCAGATTTATGCGGGACCTTTTTGTGAAGGTAGCTCATATACGCGGACAATGTTATAGGATATTTTTTAAAAATTTTGCATTGACGAAGTCGTCTGAGACTTCTAGTGATGTTATAATTTCAGATGAGAATGTACGGGGGCGGAGTGGCCCCCGGCGTGGGCGTGGCGGCCGGCGTGGGCGTGGGCGGCGGGGTCGGCGTGGGCGAGGGCGCGGCGTACGCCCCGCAGGCGCCCTCCCCCGCGGCCGCGTCCCCCGCGCTCTACCCGCCGCCCTCGCCCGCGCACACGCCGCACCCACACCCCCACCCCCACCACCACTACCAGCAGCCGCCCTTTCAGGCCAGTCCTATGGTGAGACATTCATTTATACTAGAAAAACAAAGAACTGAAGCAACTAGCTGTTCCTTGTGACTACATCCACTTAGAATTAAAAAATATAGCCTATGTTACTTACTGATAACTCTAGGTCATTAATGGTGAAAAAAATTTGAAATCGGCTCAGTAGTTTATGATTATCAATACATAACAAAATTTAAAAATACAAATCTTTCTCTTTTTAATATAATATTATTTATGTTAACTTGTGTGCAGGTACTATGCCCTCTGATGGGTCCGGGGTCGCATCACCACCACCACCACCACCACCCGCACGTGGCGTACCTCAACCACGCGCCGCCCACCGCCTCGCCGCCGCACCACCCGCTGCCCCACCCCCACCCCCACCAGCTGCAGGGACAGGTAACACACTGACACTGACATTGAAATAAACCCTAGTAAAAATGGTTTAGGTTTCGAGTAGTAGAAGAAAATGATGGGATGGAAAGGGGGAGTCAAATTGGAAATGGAGTGAAATGTCCTTTTTTGGTGCGACTGCTACTTATAAATTTACTAGCTTGCGACTCTGATGGAATTAAAAAAAAAAAGTATATCCTATGTGTTCTTACCTACTGTTTGTTCTGTACATGTATGCTAAATTTCATTGAGATCCGTTCAGCATTTTAAGCTGGAAACTCATAAACATCCATTTAAACTTTCGCGTTAAAATTATTAGTAAGAATAGTAATATTTTGTATGTTGTTCTAGCAACAACAAGCGCTGATGCCGCCCCCGCACCAGCCCAGCGGCGGGTCCTCCACCCCGGGCGGACACACGCACCCCTAACCTGCGCCTGCGCCCTCGCCGCGCGCCCGCACACACCGCGCGCGCACAGACACCCCCCCGCCGTGCTAGGCCTCCGCACACCCCACACCTCCCAGACCACCTCCACCCCTACTATGTAACCTTACGGTGAAAACATCAACCAAGCTAAACTCTGGTCTAGAAGTGAAGTGTGAAGACATTATGATGTATAACTCTATGTGATAAGGTTCACTTTCCTTTGTACAGTTGTAAATCAAGTTGCCGGTTCAAAGTAGTTAAATTTCATACTAGTATAAGACTACAGATATTCGATACCTACTGAGGGTGTATCACGAATGTTCGTGTGACAGTTGTCGAAATATTCGTAAAGGCCGCTAGTTTTGACATTTTTAACTGTACAGTATGAATGTTCAGTTAAAATTGTCAGTATTGAGAGTAACAGGTACTTCATTGACTAAATTTGTATGAGATTTGATTTTACATATTTTGTCGATGACGTTACGAAATGTTCTCACGATATTTCGTGATAACCCCTTTGTTTTTGCTAAGGGAACTTTTTTTTGATTGTTTACGAGATTCGAATATCAATTTTTATTCATAATTGTCGAGTTTTATTAAATGTTATCTATAATTTTATTATATATTTAGCGATATTCCAATTACAATATTAAAATACTATATTTGTTCAAAGTAAATGGCGATTACCGACAAAATACAAGGTTGATATTCGGATTTCGTATATTGTCAACTCTTTTGCGTGATAGAAAACATTAAATAACATGGTTTAACTATTTATCAATAATAAATTTAAGCTTTTCTCATTTGATGCAGACTTTAAAAATAATTTTGTTTTAAAATTTTTACTAATAAAAATATGTAAGTTTGAACTTTAAAACGTTACTATATATTTTTTTGATTAAAAAAAACACGCATTAGAATTGACAAAACAATTCAATATGTACAGTTTAAAATCACAGAATTAATATATAAAAATATTACAATATTATAATAAAGGTGTAGATATAAAAGGCCGTAAATAATAAATTATAAGTAAAACAACTACGCAGTGTGCGGTTTAAATATACAATATATAACTTAAACTGTTAATGTAATAGGTTACTTTGTCAAGTTACCAGTAACTTAACTGCGGCGGGTGTAGCACGGCGGGGTATACAGAGATGTGTAAGTGTTAAGAATAGCGTCCCGCGCGGCGGGGACTGTATTATAGGTAGAGAAATAAACTCTCGTTATCCGACGGGAATTGTGGCAATTGGACGCCGATTGGACGCCGATTGGACGCCGATTGGACGCTAATTGGACGCCGATTGGACGCCGATTGGACGCTAATTGGACGCCATTTGGATGTAAAGGCAGCTCATGATTATCAATTTCATGGATTTTAACTTCTGTTTGTCATCCGATAAACGCCCAAACTTTATATAGAAGTTAGAATGTTATACTAACGACAGGTGCGCGATTGTCACAGTTGTCGTGGATGCGGGAAGCTGCACCTTGTGCAGTCGTGTCTATTATATTTATTTAGAAATATGTTAGTTATTACGCGAACCCTCCGCTATTTGTTTTCCAATAATGCGATTGATTCGCGTTTTTTTTTTCGTATTAGTATGGGAATGTCTTTTGTGGTTTTATTTGTATACTTTAGGGCGTGCTCATTGCCTTGTCTGTTCGATGTTTGGCGAGATTGTTATTTAGGGTTTTTGGGATATCGTATAATTGTTTGCGCGCTGAATTTTTAATCTTTAGCTTCAGCACTCGTCCAAGTATTTCATTAAAACATCAATAAAATTGGACCCAACAATCAACAACTTAAAATCCGCTATGTTGTTGTTAATAGGAGGTATTTAGGAAAAAAAACTAGCGATGTTACTTTTTTAAAACCGATATTTTGTTGGAAACATGTATCCGTTTGCTGTCGATATATTTGTACAAAATATATCTTTAATCTCAATTTTTCATAGAAAATGAGAAGGGTAAATATGTGTTTTGTATATATGTTAAGGCAGGCGACACTCAAAAATACATAATTCCAACAAAATATCGGATTGAAAAAAATAATGTTGTTAATTTTTTTAATACCCATAACCCAGTGAAAAATTAAGATAACTGTTTAAATTAATAGGCGAGGAATCTTACTTTTTACTAATATTATAAGCGTGAAAGTTTGGATGGATGTTTGTTAGAATTTGTAGCCTAAACTGCTGAACGGATTACAATGAAACTTGGCATAGGTGCATAGTCTGGATGAACACAGGCTACTCGTTTTTGTTTTTTTTTTATTCTACGCGGACGGTGTCGCGGGCGAAAGCTAGTACGTTATAAATATGAAAAATCCGTACCTTAAAATGTGATCATTCTATCTTAATAATGATTTCTTGATAGAAATGTGATAATAAATGCAAAGTGTAGGAAACCCCAGTACGGTTGACGACCTCGCATATATCCATATGCACTCTAAAAGACAAAATTTGATAGAAATTGTGGAAATCTAGGTCTGCTGTACAACTGAGTTGGTTCCTAGAGGGAGTGCGCGGAACGGGCGAGGTCGTCACACCCCTCCCACACTCCCCCAAGGAATCGACTTAGTTGTATAGTAGACCAAAAGTTTGACAGTTTTATAACGTTTTTAACAGTTAATATACTTTTTTTTATAATAATAAATAACTTTTTAATACAAATTTTTCATATTTAACGAGAGTATTTGAAATTTAACCCAAAGTTGGCTTTTATTTTTTTTATAATAAAATGTTCACCTGATTTCGTAAAAATAGCGAATTAAATGCTCATTGGCGAAGGTAAAAACAAATTGTATATGCCTTAACTACATACACAAGAGGGTACTTTCAGAGGAAAGAATGTAGTAATTTAAAATAAGGAAGGGGACATTAATAAGAGATATGTAAATATCACATTCCTAAATAAAATTATATAACTTCGTGAGAGCAGGCCAGCATGTATTATTAAATCCTACAAAGAAATTAAGTATATATGAAGAAACTATGAATTATGATGTAGGAATTTGCAAGAAAATGTCTAATAGTTACGTAGGATTCACATACTGTGCCGACCTTCGCTTGGAAGAGGGATGATAGAAGTCGGATAATAAAGATTTTATATACGTAATGTAAAATTCAGCGCGCAAATATGTGTTTATAAATATATCTACGTTTACTGCCTATCTAAGTGCATACATGCGGGATGCTAGTAGAATTGACAATAATTCATATTGTTTAACGTAACATAACCGTTGCTTTTAGAATGTTTCTGAATATGGTTGCTACCAATATTCCCGTGCGGTCGACGTTTGAAGCATCCCTGATGCTGCTGGAGTGACAAATTTGAGTTTTTTGAAACTCGACTTTCGTGTAGAGAAGGGAGCCATTGAAGGTACGTGGAATAGTTTGTGTGGGATTTTTATGTAGATGCGAACGCTGTTCGAGGATTTTTGTTTCGGTAAATTTTTGTCTTGTCAGTTTTTTTACAGTAATAGAGATGGGAATTGTATAAAAATATGCAATTTAATGATTATTCATATTTGTTACTCTAGCAGCTAACACATTCCGCTTCGACTGTTTGAAAAAAATGTTTGAATTTTCATAGAATAGGTTTATTTATCTTATCGGCTCAAATAATATTGGTCCATTTATAGAAAGAGTTACTGGTTTTTATAAGTTTACGAATAACAAATAGGAGCTTTGTGCTCCATTATATTTCATTTACATAGTCGATATAAAGCTGTGTTGCGCGGAGGCGGTGTCCCGAGCGCATCGCGTCTGATTGTTTGTTTGTTTGTTTGAATGGAGGGGGGCTCAGTCCATGACCTCCGCGTGGTGCTCCCTGGGTAGCGCCAAATGTGGACAAATGCATTCACATTTCTTCCGAAAATTTGTCTATTAAAATAACTACACGTATTTAAGTGCTTTCACCCCTTCGCGGGGGGTAGTTTTGAATTCGCTTATTTAGGATTGTATAAAGTCATGTAAATTTATTCAATCTGTACAGAAACTTATTCTGGCATATAACTTTCAACATTCAGAATACCGATAGATCTAAATATTATGTACACATTGGTAGAGTCCTATTTGCTGGAATTATATAATCATCTCAAGTCCATAGTAATATTAAGATAGTTGTATATATGTATATAGTTAAAATTGATTGAGCTCTCGTTTCGAGAATCGGCTACTTCGTGTACAAATGTGATAAATGATATCTAAAAAAAAATCACCAAAAAAATACGATAATGGCCTATTCGATTGGCGTTGTAGGTTGTAATTCCTACAAACGGTAATCAAACTGTATATTTATTGTTTTTTTTCTTTAGTTTTTTCCGATTGTTTTCCTTTAAATTTTTATATAAATCGCATGAGCGCGTTCAGCTGTTTGTTGCTTGATGTGAGTGAGATTTGAGAGTTTTATGTGCGTTTGTTGATTGTTGTGCGCCCTAATATAAATATAGTTATATAAAAAATATGATTTGTCGTCCGTATGTCGGTCAAATTTACGGACGTTAGACTTTGGGGTGAATTTATGGGTTTTTCAAATGATATCACCTGATTGTTATGTCGATAACTGTGTCTAGTTTCATTAAAATAGTGAAATGTAACTTCTCAATGTCACTCAGAAATCCTATTTTTAAAGTATGTGCAAATTTGTACTCATATATTAATACCATTTTGCTTGTGGTATTTTGATAATTTTCAAGAGAATTACCTTATTCTTATTATAAAGGGACTTTCCCTTAGTAATGTTAAAAGCATTGCCAAAGAAGGGCAATAATTCTTTGTGATAGTGAAAATGTAATTTCTTATTTCCCGTAAACAGTACTTTATTGTATATTATTATATATTATGTAGATAAAAAATGTACTTGCAAATTATGTGGACAACTATTTCCAATTGCTCACGAAATATATTTACTGCATTTCTTGCAGATACGATCTCGTAAGTAAACCTTAATACGCATTTTATCTTACAAACATTTATTATATGTTTTAGATAAATGTCTTCAAATCATTATGATTTTTTATTAAATTTATAAAAGCCACATTGCTTCGTAAAAAGGTTTACTTATTAGATGTATAATCTTTCAGATTTATGTGAAATAAAATGTCTTCACAACTGTTCCAACGTGTATCGATATTGCTTTCTCTGTTTTGTCAAAGAGAATGTAAGAGATGTCAAGTGTCAACAGTCGATACCCACTGTAGATTAAAAACAACTTGACAGTTCTTTCCCGCGAAAATAACTGTCATGTTGGTTTTAAAACGGAAGTGTCAAACCTCTTTCGAGGTTAGGAAATTGGTTGTAATTGTAAAGAACACTGTTTATTTATTTTATTTTGTACCTGAAAATGTGGCACTTTAATTTTTATGTAAATAACTGTTTGTGAAAACATCTCTCGAACAGTGACGCAGATGCGCCTTCGGAGAACTGTAACAACTTTTGTTTTAAATATGTAATTCTATTGTCCGAAGGTACTGCGTTAATATATATGTATCAAATGTATATTATATAAATTGCCTTATGGGAAAAGAATGTGTTACCAGCTAGGCCGATCACTACGTTGTTGGTTCCTCGTCGAATGGACAGGCCAAAATACGAATAACACTACAACCGTCAATCGTTACTAAGGGAGCCGCTTAGTCCATGTTATGAAATCTACACTAAGCGTCTGTTTAGTAATCATTAAATGACGGTCGAATTCTGAACCACAAACATCTCGCTTTGTAAACGACGCTTACAATCTGACGGACAATAAATTTAGTTGGAACCATCATTTTTGTCGTTTTAGTATTCGGCCGTAAGTACGGTAAACACATCCGACAAGCCACCAACAGTGAAGTAATCGAATGAAGTTATTGTAAAGACTGAAATGTGTAAGGTTTTGGAGAGATTGATTTTATAAGGTATGTTTCCACTTGTGGTGCCACGACAAGAGAAACATCCTGCTTGGCGAGGCTTTTTATGACCGCCAGATGGGGGAGGGGGGTGCGCGGCAACAACTGGGTAGTGTCAAATGACACCGCATGACACCCGGCGACGCGAATACCTGCGTCGATGAATATTTTTCAATAAAAAGCATAAAAAAACGTGTTTTGAACACAACAGTTGGTAGTTTTATTTATTATTCCTTAGTAACCCTAATCAGTCATCAAAATGACCGTTATCTTTAATTTTTACAAGAATGGACAGATAATAACAATCTAATAACTTAATAGCATCCAACGAGGATCTCATACAAAGATTAAAAACAATAACGTCCACGAAAAGCACTTAAAATAAAGCCTATGTTACAGATAAATTACCTTTCCATTGGTGATTTTTTTTTAAATCGGCCCAGTAGTTTTTACGTGAATCGAATATGAAATATTTCCTTCTTTATAATAGTGTGAATAGTGAATTCTAGGCTGATCAACTATCTGGAAAAAAACAAACTGCTCACGGACTACGAATACGGTTTTCGTAAAGGTAGATCTACGGATGACGCTGTACTGGACTTAACATCTTTAATCCATAAATATGTTGACAGAGGAGAAAAAGTTATCGGTGTGTTTCTCGACTTAAAAAAAGCTTTTGACACAGTGTCAGCGCCAATACTTTTATCCAAACTCGAAGCCCTAGGAGTCCGCGGACATGCTTACCAGTGGTTCCAAAGCTACCTAGATTGCAGAGAGCAGTATGTCAAGGTCAATAATTATCTAAGTGACCCTCTAAGATGCAACTTTGGTATACCACAGGGCAGTACCCTAGGACCCACTCTGTTTTTAGTGTATATAAACAGTCTCCCAGACGTCTTACCATCCAATGCCGACCCTCTTCTCTTCGCTGATGATACAGTGCTATTGTTCCACGGCCAGGAATGGAAAGAAGTTCACGAAAGAGCAGAATCCTGTCTCAAATATGTGACAACATGGTTAGAGGACAACTTATTAACGCTCAATGTAACGAAAACTAAATATTTGTGTTTCGCTAAATCTTCTAACCCTTTTCCAAGTCAAGACCTACACATCACCTTACATACATTCCCCTGTAATAGAACGCCCGCAAACCAATGTGATTGCAATACCCTCACAAGAGCCAGAAGTATACGTTATCTTGGTGTTCTAGTGGACGATAACCTGAGCTGGAAAGAGCAAACCGACAATGTATGCACACGGGTTAGGAGGCTCATCTATATATTTAAACAATTGAGAACTGTCGCAAGCCAAAAGATACTCATACAAACCTACAAGGCACTTTGTCAAAGTGTCATCTATTACTGTGTGACCGCTTGGGGCAGTGTACCAAAATCAAGAATGATCCACCTTGAAAGAACTCAAAGAACAGTGCTGAAGGTACTCCTGCGATTGCCATACCAGCACCCTACCACAGCCCTGTACGAGGACACACAACTGCTCTCAGTTCGGAGGCTCTTTGTACTGCAATGTCTCTTAAGATACCACCGTAAATCAGCTCAACCACTCATACAATCAAAAAAGCGCAAACTGCGATGCCCTCTGCCGATCTCCAAATCCACCTTTGC